TGGGGATTTCCCCCCGGACGGGGATTTGAGCCCCCAAAAGCCGGACATGTCCGGGAAAATCCGGACGTATGGTAACCCTAGGTAAGTGTAGACAAGCCCTAAGACAATGGGCCAGATTCTGTGCTAACTTCCAGCCTGTGCAGGTTGACCAATGAAAGACGTGGAGCAGTGTAGTGGGGCGCTGCCCCACTCCCGCAGAACAGGGGTTGAAAGCAGTGAGAGCAGCTGAGGGAGTGGCTGACCACAGCTGTGGCCAGCTCAATCTGGGCCCAGCTGGCCCTTAGAAGAGGGCTGGTGGTCAGGAGCTGGAGGAGTCTCGCTCTTGCTCTGGAGAGGGGAGGACCTGGCTGCTGGGAGCTTAGGGTACTGGGAGTAGAGCAGGGCTGGGGAAAGGCAAGTGGAGCTGGGGAGCTCCAGCCTGGCAAACCCCCAGGCTGCAGGCCTTGCTAAAGGCCAAAGCAGGTACTGGGATTGCAGAGGGGCAGCCCAGAGATAGGCAGAGTCCAACCCCCTTGCTGATGATGAGTGGCCTTTACAGACTGCAGTCTGCCCCAGTGAGCGGGGGCTAGAGGACGACTGGCAGTAGCCACTGAGGCAAGGTGGGTGAGAGGGTTGGGGGTTCCCCTGGGAGGGGAGACCCAGAGCGGGGGTACTGCAGGAGCAGAACCCAGAGGTAAAGGGCACTGGGGTCCGGGCAGGACACGGGGCCTGAGGCAGGTGAGCCACCGGCCAGCAGAGGGCACTCCAGGCTGAAATTGAGCTAATTCCCAGGATAACCAGCAGGAGGTGCTGCGCCAGTGAGTCCAGCACCGCTACAATCAGGCACTTCTCTGTCCTCTGTCCTCCCACCACTATGGTTCCCTTCCCTCATTCTGTCTTCCCTCACCCTCAGACGTGGCTATTGCTCATGAGGAGAGATACCCACACTCCCGACTGTAGCTGCAGCATCCTGTCTCCAATAGTCGGCTGTCATGCAGACTGGAGCCCTCTGGTTAGCCACAAAATAGGGGAGAGCAAACTTCCCCTCCAAAATGTTCTCACTTCTGACCATGGCAGCTACCGGAACGGGTCAGAGGGCAGCTTCCATGCCTGCTTAACACACAACCTCCTGGGCGGGACTGGGATGGCACTGCCAGTTTGCTATAGCAGACATGTGATTTGGCTAATCACAAGAATCTGAAGTGAGACAATCTGCTTCACATTGGCCACTAGACAGCTTGCTGTCACCCAGACAACAGGCTTTCGAGAGATTCAAACCAGGGGGCTATAGTGGAAAGACTCTGTATCCCAACACTGCTCAGCTGGGTCATCCAATCCCCGGGCTCCGGGCTTTGTCTCTGGGTCCCTATTCATTTCTGCTCTCAGAGAAACCTCCTTCCTTACCCTCACCCACCTGCCCATTTCATTTTCTTACTCACCTACATCAGAGGGAGCTTGTGAGAACTAGCTATTACTGAGACAGGCCCCTCGCCTGCCTGCATAGCCCAGGGTGAGTTCAGAAGGCTGCCTGCACTGAGGTGTTGCAGGGGAACAAGCTGCCTGTAGTCCCTGCTTAGCCAAGGGAGCTAGAGCAGGCTGGCACAGCCTACGACGTGGGCAAGGCTGGCCAGTGAGTGGGCAGGACCCTGGCAACCAGGAGACGTGCTGATTCCATTAATCTCGGGGCACTCCCCATCCGTGGGGCACCAGTGGCAACCCAGATCGCATTTAAAGCTGCCCTTCCTCTGCCAGTCCCTCCCCAAGCCCTCGCCTCAGGTGGTGGTGATGCAAGTTGGCACCACCTGCGCCTGCAGGATTGAAATAAGCTCAGCTCTTTAAAGTGCTTGAAAGCAAAGTGCCGTGTAAGAGCTATGCGTTACAATTAGAGCAGTATTGTACACAGTGAGACCTGTACACCACTAGACGAGACACCTGCGTCAGCCTCCCTCCTACCTTGGCCTTCTTCTCAGGCCGGATCTGGCCCATTTCTGTCAGACAGCTGAAGACTGACTGTTCTCGCAAGTCTTCTGGCTGTTCACAAGCCCACTGGAAGGAGTAGGTGGAATTGGTGGGGTTCACAAGCATGAAGGTCCTGGCCACAACAAACAGAAATTGCCATTAGAAAGGGAACAGTGAACAGCTCTGGGAGCTAGTGGCTTGGCTGCTCAGCAGACACCGGGCACTGCCAGCTCCTCCAAGGGAGGATTCCTTGGCACACCCCATCTACCTCCACTGCTATGGGCATGACAGCTCCATCCCATTACCGGTTCTGGAGTCCCCACAGCCCTCTGGGCTGGCTGGCTACCTTTATCCTCTGTAAACAGATACTGAGGTCAGCCCCATGCAAACCCTAGCACCAGAGTGGTGAGGGTAAAATCCAGCACAACAAGGCTCTTTAGAGCTCTCTAGAGGGGTTATTTCCTTCGCTGACCCAATCAAGTATTCAAAGAGTCAAAAAAAGAGGCCAATCCCGTGGAGAGAGAGCAGAGTTATACTGGACGACACCTATGGGCTGGGGACCAGCTACGTTTGTTGCAGGACCGGATGGTGGAAGCAAAGATGGCTAGTCTATGTTGCTCCTGTCTGCCCAGAGCCCCAAGTGCAGCTGTGCCACAAGGAGTTTAGAAGACTGGTCTCTGGCTGAGTTGTTGTGACTAGCCAGTAGTCAGCAAGTCAAGCCTTCTCCACGCCCACCTGCTGTTCCGAGCGTGCACTCCGACGGATGCAAACTCAATCACCCTGGTGTTGGGATCCAGCGCAGCCCCCCAGGGCCCTCGCAGCTCTGGGTTGCGCCTGTTTGCGGTGAGGTAGTCAGAGTCCTCCAGCTCGAAATGGCAGTATGGCAGGAGGCTTCTCCCCTTCACAGCCACTACGGGGCCTTGGTGATTGGGCTTCAGGTTGGGGATACTGAGAAGAAATGGACCAGTCAGTGTTATCAAAGGCAGCGGGGCAGCTTTATGGCTTTGCTGTACACAGCTTTCACGCCCTCTCTCTCAGTAGGTGTACCGAGCAGTGAATCAAATGGAAGCTCACTCTGTGGTGATGAGGCAGCAAAGGAGACACATGAATAGTAATTCCTCAGTGGGAGAAAAGTGGCACCTTTACTGATAAGCACACTGGAGGTCGTGCTGGTGACTCAATATGGCTAAGCCCTCACTAAGTTTCCATACTCATCCAAAAGCCAGTACGAGTGATCGAACTTCTTGGGGCTTAGGTGATTTCCCATACCCAAAGTAAATTAGTAACTCCACCAGAATGGTACAAGCCAGGCAAAGGGGCTGTGGGAGGACTGTGAATTACTTACCCTCCATCTCTGAAAGGCGGAATCTTACTTGTACCCAACCCCCATTTTAAACATTTTTTTAAAGTGAGTTTTCTCAGGTTCCCAAGAAGAAGGATTGCTAGGAAGAGATGGAATCCACCTAAAGAAGAGAGGGAAGAGCATCTTCGCAGGCAGGCTTGCTAACCTAGTGAGGAGGGCTTTAAACTAGGTTCGCCGGGGGATGGAGACCTAAGCCCAGAAGGAAGTGGGGGAGTGGGATACTGGGAGGAAACACAAGGAGGAGGGTGCAACAGGGGAGGCCTCCTAATTCATACTGAGAAAGTAGGGAATCGGCTAGTTATCTTTGGTCCTGCTTTGAGCAGGGGGTTGGACTAGATGACCTCCTGAGGTCCCTCCCAACCCTGATATTCTATGATTCTATTCGATGATTCTATGATCTTAGGTGCATGTACACAAATGCAAGAAGCCTGGGAAACAAGCAGGGAGAACTGGAAGTCCTGGCACAGTCATGGAACTATGATGTGATTGGAATAACAGACTTGGTGGGATAACTCACATGACTGGAGCACTGTCAGGATGGGTATAAACTGTTCAGGAAGGACAGGTACGTGAGGAAAGGTGGAGGAGTTGCATTGTATGTAAGGGAGAAGTATGATTGCTCAGAGATCCAGTATGAAACTGGAGAAAAGCCTGTTGAGAGTCTTTGGGTTAAGTTTAGAGGCGAGAGCAACAAGGGTGATGTCGTGGTGAGCATCTGCTATAGACCACCAGACCAGGAGGATGAGGTAGACGAGGCTTTCTTCGGACAACTAACAGAAGTTTCCAGATCACAGGTCCTGATATCTGCTGGGAAAGCAATACAGCAGTGCACAGACAATCCAGGAAGTTTTTGGAGAGTGTTGGGGACAACTTCCTGGTGAAAGTGCTGGAGGAACCAACTAGGGGCCATTCTCCTCTTGACCAGCTGCTCACAAACAGGGAAGAACTGGTAGGGGAAGTAGAAGTGGGTGGCAACCTGGGCAGTAGTGAGCATGAGATGGTCGAGTTCAGGATCCTGACAAAAGGAAGAAAGGAGAGCAGCAGAATATGGACCCTGGGCTTCAGAAAAACAGACTTTGACTCCTTCAGGGAACTGATGGATAGGATCCCCTGGGAGGCTAATACGAGGGGGAAAGGAGTGCAGAAACCATGTTGACTTTTGCCCAACAATTTATGTTTTTCTATGTGTCTGACAATTTTATTCTTTACTATTGTTTGAACTAATTTGCCCGGTACTGATGTTAGACTTACCGGTCTGTAATTGCTGGGATCACCTCTAGAGCCCTTTTTAAATATTGGCGTTACATTAGCCATCTTCCAGTCACTGGATACAGAAGCTGATTTAAAGGACAGGTTACAAACCCTAGTTAATAGTTCCGCAATTTCACATTTGAGTTCTTTCAGAACTCTTGGGTGAATGCCATCTGGTCCCAGTGACTTGTTACTGTTAAGTTTATCAATTAATTCCAATACCTCCTCTAATGACACTTCAATATATGACAATTCCTCAGATTTGTCACTTACAAAGGACAGCTCAGGTTTGGGAATCTCCCTAACATCCTCAGCCGTGAAGACTGAAGCAAAGAATTCATTTAGTTTCTCCGCAATGACTTTATCGTCTTTAAGCGCTCCTTTTGTATCTCGATCGTCCAGGGGCCCCACTGGTTGTTTAGCAGGCTTCCTGCTTCTGATGTACTTAAAAAGCATTTTGTTATTACCTTTTGAGTTTTTGGCTAGCTGTTCTTCAAACTCCTTTTTGGCTTTTCTTATTACATTTTTACACTTAATTTGGCAGTGTTTATGCTCCTTTCTATTTACCTCACTAGGAGTTGACTTCCACTTTTAAAAAGATGCCTTTTTATCTCTCACTGCTTCTTTTACATGATTGTTAAGCCACAGTGGCTCTTTTTTAATTCTATTACTGTGTTTTTTAATTTGGGGTATACATTTAAGTTGGGCCTCTATTCTGGTGTCTGAAAAGTGTCCATGCAGTTTGCAGGGATTTCACTCTAGTCACTGCCTGTTAATTTCTGTTTAACTAACCCCCTCATTTTTGCATAGTTCCCCTTTCTGAAGTTAAATGCCACAGTGTTGGGCTGTTGAGATGTTCTTCCCACCACAGGAATGTTAAATGTTATTATATTACGGTCACTAATTCCAAGCGGTCTTGTTATAGTTACCTCCTGGACCAGCTCCTGCGCTCCACTCAGGACTAAATCAAGAATTGCCTCTCCCCTTGTGGGTTCCCCAGCTGCTCCAAGAAGCAGTCATTTAAAGTATCAAGAAATTTTGTCTCTGCATTTTGTCCTGAGGTGACATGTTCCCAGTCAATATGAGGATAAGTGAAACCCCCCACTATTATCGAGTTTTTTATTTTGATAGCCTCTCTAATTTCCCTTAGCATTTCATTGTCACTATCACTGTCCTGGTCAGGTGGTTGATAATAGATCCCTACTGTTATATTCTTATTAGAGCATGGAATTACTATCCATGGAGATTCTATGGAACATGTGGATTCATTTAAGATCTTTACTTCATTTGATTCAACATTTTCTTTCACATATAGTGCCACTCCCCTCCCCCTCTCCCTGCCCAACCTGTTCTGTCCTTCCGATATATTTTGTACCCTGGAATGATTGTGTCCCATTGATTGTCCCCACTCCACCAGGTTTCTGTGATGCCTATTATATCAATATTCTCCTTTAACATGAGGCACTCTAGTTCACACATCTTATTATTTAGACTTCTAGCATTTGTGTACAAGCACTTTAAAAAACTTGTCACTGTTTATTTGTCTGCCCTTTTCTGATGTGTCAGATTCTTTTTTATGTGAATGTTTCTCGTCTGATCTGGCCCTTACATTATCCTCCTCCATCCTCTGCTCCTGACTATAACCTGGAGATTCTCTATCATTAGACTCTCCCCTAAGAGAAGTCTCTGTCCGATCCACATGCTCCTCTGCAGAAATCGGCTTTCCCGCATCTCTTAGTTTAAAAACTGCTCTGCAACCTTTTAATGGTAAGTGCCAGCAGTCTGGATCCACTTTGGTTTAGGTGGAGCCCATCTCTCCTGTATAGGCTCCCCCCATCCCAAAAGTTTCCCCAGTTCCCAATAAATCGAAATCCCTCCTCCCTACACCATCGTCTCATCCACGCATTGAGACTCTGAAGCTCTGCCTGCCTACCTGGCCCTGTGCGTGGAACTGGGAGCATTTCTGAGAATGCCACCATAGAGGTCCTGGATTTCAGTCTCTTTCCTAGCAGCCTAGGAAATTTGGCCTCCAGGACATCTCTCCTACCCTTCCCTAGGTCATTGGTACCTACATGTACCATGATCACCGGCTCCTCCCCAGCACTACGCACAAGTCTATCTAGATGCCTCGAGAGATCTGCAACCTTTGCACCAGGCAGGCAAGTCACCATACAGTTCTCCCGGTTATCACAAACCCAGTCATGCCTGACCAACCTGATTGCCTTCTATGATTAGATAACTGGCTCTGTGAATATGGAGAAAGCGGTGGACGTGATATACCTTGACTTTAGCAAAGCTTTTGATACAGTCTCCCACAGTATTCTTGACATCAAGTTAAGAAGTATGGATTGGATGAATGGACTATAAGGTGGGTGGAAAGCTGGCTAGATCGTCGGGTTCAACGGGTAGTGATCAACGGCTTGATGTCTAGTTGGCAGCCGATATCAAGCAGAGTGCCACAGGGGTCGGTCCTGGGGCCGGTTTTGTTCAAAATCTTCATTAATGATCTGGATGGTGGCCTGGATTGCACCCTCAGCAAGTTTGCGGATGACACTAAGCTGGGGGGAGAGGTAGATAATTGGAGGGTAGGGATAAGGTCCAGAGTGACCTAGACAAATTAGAGGATTGGGCTAAAAGAAATCTGATGAGGTTCAACAAGGACAAGTGCAGAGTCCTGCACTTAGGACGGAAGAATCCCATGCACCGCTACAGGCTGGAGACCGACTGGATAAGCAGCAGTTCTGCAGAAAAGGACCTGGGGATTACAGTGGACGAGAAGCTGGATATGAGTCGACAGTGTGCCCTTGTTGCCAAGAAGGCTAATGGCATTTTGCTCTGTATAAGTAGGAACATTGCCAGCAGATCGAGGGATGTGATCATTCCCCTCTGTTCGGCATTGGTGAGGCCACATCTGGAGTACTGTGTCCAGTTTTGGGCCCCACACTACAGAAAGGATGTGGACAAATTGGAGAGAGTCCAGTGGAGGGCAATGAAAATGATAAGGGGGCTGGGGCACATGACTTATGAGGAGAGGCTGAGGGAACTGGGCTTATTTTGTCTGCAGAAGAGAAGAGTGAGGGGGGATTTGATAGCAGCCTTCAACTACCTGAAAGGGGGTTCCAAAGAGGATGGATCTAGACTGTTCTCAGTGGTACCAGATGACAGAACAAGGAGTAATAGTCTCAAGTTGCAGTGGGGGAGGTCTAGGTTGGATATTAGGAAAAACTATTTCACTAGGAGGGTGGCGAAGCACTGGAATGGGTTACCTAGGGAAGTAGTGGAATCTCCATCCTTAGAGGTTTTTAAGGCCTGACTGGGATGACTTAGTTGGGATTGGTCCTGCTTTGACCAGGGGGTTGGACTAAATAACCTCCTGAGGTCTCTTCCAACCCTAATCTTCTATGATCACCTCCCCTCCAGAACTAAACAGCCTAAGGGATCCTAAGGGATGGCACAGGTTTGGTCCCAGGGCTGATGGCTTCCAAGCTGGGCCTAAACAAAGCAGTAGGTTTTTGATGCCCCACCTTTCCTCGACTGCATTGTCGGCCCATCCATTTCAGGGAGCACCAAATCCCATTTACACCAAAGTACTTTGGACAATGATTCCCTGTTATTAGCACTTGTCAAGATGCAATCCACCCCGAGTGCTTCCTACCTGCAGAGTAGGCGGCCCTCAAATTCTCCCACTTCCAGTGGGGAGAATTTCAACAGGAACTGCTGCTTCTTCCCGGCTGGGATGAGGCCACTGCTGGGTTCCATGGAGAATGGAGGGAGAGCAGCAAGAGCACACAGGAAGGATGAGACACTCTCCAGAACACTGCCTAGCTGGCTAGCGGGTCGACTGCATGGTATTTTGGTGGAGGCAGCAGATGTGGCAGATGGGAACTCTCCTGTGTTAAGGAATGGGTGGTTAGGTCAGTTTCACTGGATTTGTCTTTGAGGATGAAACCTCTTGTTCTGAGCCCAGACCCCCTGATTCAGTACGATGGACAAAAGGCCGAGGGGATTTGGTTTAAAGACCACACAAAGGCTATCCCCCTTCGCAAGCCCTTTCCAAGGATGATTCCAACCAGGGTTAGTGAAAGGTGTAATGTAGCTTCATGTCATCACTTCTGCACTGCCTCTTACTAACTCCTCATATGCTGAAAAAGACCTAGAAAAGTTCTATACAAGGGCATGAAATCAAAATGCTGAAAGACAGCCCATCACGCTGGTCTGAACGCGGTGCCCAGAGACCACTGTGACCAAGGCTGTAAGTACCTATAAGGGCCATATCATGCCCCCATTTACATCCATGCCTGGTTAGCAGGGCAGAATGTGACTCATTGTGTGTATGTGCTTTCAGCTGAAACGGTAGGCAGACATTAAGTGATCAAGGAACAGCACTGGCGCATATTGCAGTGTCTGGTCTTCTCTTCCTCTGTTAATCAAGCTTCCACAGCCAGCCACAGCCATCAAACCACAAAGCAGGGGCATAATGGAACAGCCCAATGGTCCAGAGCACCCTGATTCAGGGCATGGCCATTGCCAGATGTTAAATTCCTTCAGTACACCAATTTATACGTTACCCTGTGGGAGAATTTCCTTCCTGACCCATCTGGTGATGAGTTTATGCCTTGAGGCATGAGGATTGAGAGTGCTTAATTCCATCCTAGCTAATTTAACTGCTGGTGTTAGTTTTACTCATAAAAAGTCTGGTCCTTGTCCTTCTCCCCCTTTTGGTAGCTGGCTGCATAATATGCTGCAAAGCAGCTGCAGACATGTTAAAGATGCACAGAAGCATTTAGCAAAGCACCCTCATGCCTCAGAGAGAGCAGGCTAGGCCATGTTGGACGAGAGCATCACATAATTGAATAGACCCTGCTGCTACACGTATGAGACCATCTTAAAAACAAAAATGCAGCTTTAATTACAAATACTTTTCCTCCTGCTTGCAAAATATGTCTATATTATGGCCCCAGTTCAACAAGGCTATTAAGCGTGTGCATAATATTAAGCATGTCCGTGTTTGAAGTTATGCACATGCTTAGGGGCCTTGTTGAATCAGGGTCTAAGAGGGGTGAAAACAATAATTCATCAATGTGTGTGGGGGGGGAGGAACAATACCAGAAAATGTGGAAATGGCAGAAGTGCTAAATGACTTTTTTGTTTCAGTTTTCACCAAAAAGGTTAGTAGTGATTGGACGTCTAACATAGTGAATACCAGTGAAAATGAGGTAGGATCAGAGGCTAAAATAGGGAAAGACTAAGTTAAAAATTACTTAGACAAGTTAGATATTTTCAAGTCATCAGAGCATGATGAAATACATCCTAGGATACTCAAGGGGCTGACTAAGGAGATGTCTGAGCCATTAGTGATTATCTTTGAAAAGTCATGGAAGACGGGAGAGATTTCAGAGGGCTGGAAAAGGGCAAATATAGTGCCAAGCTATAAAAAGGGGACTAAGGACAACCTGGGGAATTACAGACCAGTCAGCTAAACTTCAGTACCCAGAAAGATAATGTGCAGGGGACTGGACTAGAAGACCTTTCGAGATCCCTTCCAGTCCTACAATTCTACCATTCCATATCTGTGTCATGAAATGCTGAGTGATGACTCAGAATGCAGGATGTGGGAGGGGGCTCCGGGCTGGGGCAGGGAGTTGGGGTGTAGGAGGGGGTGAGGGCTCCGGCTGGGGATGAGGGGTTTGGGGTGCAGGAGGGGGCTCCAGGCTGGGGGGTAGGGCTGAGGGATTTGGATTGTGGGAGGAGGCTTCAGGTTGAGGCAGGGGGTTGTGGTGCAGGAGTGGGTGATGGCTCTGGGGTGGGGCCGGGGATGAGGGGTTTGGGGCGTGGGGGGTCTCTGGGCTGGGGCAGGGGGTTAGGGTGCAGGGGGGGTTAGGGCTCTAGGCTGGGGATGCAGGCTCTGGGGTAGGACTGGAGATGAGGGGTTTGGGGTGCAGGAGAGGGTTCCGGGTTTGGGGGAGCTCAGGGCTGGAGCAGGGGGTTGGGGCTCGGGGTTGGGGCATGGACTTACCTCGGGCGGGTCCCAGTCAGTGGCACAGTGGGGCGAGCAGGGGACTAAGGCAGGCTCCCTGCCTGTCCTGGCACCATGCTGCGCTGTTCCCCGAAAGCAGCCAGCAGGTCGGGGTCCTAGGCTGGGGGCCAGGAGGCTCCACGCGCCGCTCGCATCCACAGGCACTGACTCCCACCCCCAGCATGGAGCCGGTGCTCAGGGTGGGGGCAGCACGTGGAGCCCTGTGGCCCCCCGGCCTAGGACCTGGACCTGCTGGCCGCTTCCGGGGCGCAGCGCGGTGCCAGCCAGGGCAGGTAGGGACTAGCCTGCCTTAGCGCTGCAGCACTGCCGACCAGACTTTTAACAGCCCGGTCAGCGGTGCTGACCGGAGCCGCCAGGGCCCCTTTTCGACCGGGTGTTCCAGTCGAAAACTGGACACCTGGTCACCCTACAGTGACCTTGTTTCCATTACCCTGAGACTCTCCAACAGGACTCCCCCCATGCTCCCTTTTCAGCTCCTGACCCCCCACTCCCAACGTGTGGCTGACCTCTCTGACCTTTCCACAGCGCCCAGCAGCTCTGCCATACCAGTTCTGGGCACTCTGAAGGTGGGGGAGCGGGAAAGAAAGCAATAACTCTTTATCCAAACCTGAAAGAAGCCACTTGCCTCAGGGTGACGGGGGAGGACATGGGGAAGGGAGCAGTGTTATGATGTCACCTTCAGAACTCTGCTGTGTTGGTGCCTCAGGCAAAGAGGCCCAGTCTGCTCCCTGAGCTGTAAAGCCCCTCTGGGTTACAGGAGGAAGCGGCTGTGGGGAGTGCCAGGTCGGGGGGAGGGAGGGCTGATTGCTATACCTTCAGGACAGTATGGCAACGGTTCTTCAGTAAAGTTGACTGCCCTTCTGCTGTCCTCCATGACCACCTTCCATGAGTACTCCAGCGCCACATTCCCCTTATTGGACAGCTGGAACCTGCAAAGGGAGAAGAAATAACGTATCTAACAGAAGGGCTCAGCGAGCACTGAAAAAATCATCTAGGGTCAGATTCTGACACCCTGACACACGCTGAGTAGCACTTTGCTCTGCAAGCCGTGGCATCAATTGGAAGGGGTCCACAAGTGCTGTTCAGCTTGCGGAAGGGGAGCAGAATGTGGCCCACACATTTCAGCAGATGGTTCTACAGTGTATCCTGCCTGCCTGGAGTGAGGGGCCGGGGGGAATCCCTAGCACCACCCCACAGTATACCGGAGGGGCTGGCATTGGCGGCTTGTGACAGCAGAAGGATTTCTACTTCTGCGTCTTGCAACTGACAAACCTGTTACACGTCTGGTAACTTTGGCATTTGCCGTCAGTGAAATAAGGCCTGTTTTTAGGACTGTGTAGTAATTTGGGCTGAATGCTGGCAGTGTAGTCAGGGTAAGAATCACTCCAGCGGGAGTTCTGAACATAAATGGCTTGTAGGCTTGGGCCCTGACTGGTACAGGAGCCACTCTATGGACCAAAATAAATGTAGTCAGTTCTCGGGAGGAGTGTGGCAACTATCTGGTGTCAGCAATACTGCACAGCACCTTGCTTTGTTTATTTCAGTGACACCAGGCTCTGTGAGGCAGAATGGGATCAAGGACGATTCCTCCAGTGCAAAGGAGGGAGCTGGGAGACAGAACGTAAATACCAGAACTGGGCTCTGCCCAGGACGTGGGATAATGTCTGGGCTCCAGAAGACAGTGCCATGGCCACCCTCGGGACTGAGACGTCTGACAGGCACCCAGAGCCCTGGCACAAGCAGTAGCAACTCTTTGGCCTCCTGGTGCTTATCAGCTGTCAGAAACAACAGCAAACAAACTAAACTACTTCCCGGAAGCTCCCGTCTAGGGACATCGCAGGCTAATGTAAGAGCACTGAGCCGCCCACTGTCCCAGGGGGTTGGGAAGAAGAGCATTAACACCTGTAGCTTAGTAGTACTCTGGAGTGAGTTGGCCCTGGCTCTGTAATACCACTTCCTTCACTGGTAGAAGAGATGGTTACTCACCCTGTGCAGTAACTGAGGTTCTTTGAGATGTGTCCCTGTGGGTGCTCCACTTCAGGTGTTGGTGCGTCCCAGCACTGTTGATCGGAGATTTTCAGTAGCAGTGTCCATCTGAGTCGCACATGCGCAGTAGTCATCTCATGGCGCCATTGGCGCCTCTTCTAGTGCACGCGTGACCCGACCCCCTCAGTTCCTTCTCTACTGTAGAGTCCTTACTGCAAACTCTGAAGTAGAGGGGAGGAGGGTGGGTAGTGGAGCCCCCACAGGTGCACTCATCTCAAAAAACCTCAGTTACTGCACAGGGTGAGTAACCTCCTCTTCTTCTTCGAGTGATGTCCCTGTGGGTGCTCCACTTCAGGTGATTGTAGAGCAGTTGCCCCACTGTGGATGTAAGGGCTTCAGATTCGCTTGGGCCATTGAAGAGAGCATGGTGAGGCCTATTATAGCGTCTGACCTTGAGCTTTGAGTGATTGCATAATGGTTTGTGAACGTGTGCACAGAGGCCCAGGTAGTCACTCTGCATATGTCTATTATCGGTACGTTGTTCAAGAACTCTATGGACACTGCTATTGAGCATGTAGAGTGGAATCTGATCCCCTCTGGGGGATCTGTGTTATTCGTTCGAAAACAGAGTTGGGTGCAGGTAAAGGTCCATTTAGATAGTCTCTGCATGGATATTGCGCTTCCCTTGGAGCACTCTGTTGTGGAAATAAAAAGTCTAAGGATTTCCGGAAAGGCTTGGTTCTGTCTAAATAAAATGCTATTGCTCATCTGAAATCTAACATATGTAAGATAGTCTCTTGTGAGCTACCATGTGGTTTGGGAGAAAACATAGGGAAGTGTATGGGTTGGCTTATATGGAAGGATGTTGATATTTTAGGTAAGAATTTCAGGTGTGGTCTCAATGTGACCTTGTCTTTAAAGAATATGGTATAAGGGGAGCAGCCATGAGCACCCCTATCTCACGTACTCGTTGAGCGGAGGTGATTGTGACCAAGAATGCAATCTTCATCGATGGGTAAAGCAGGGAGCAGGGAGCTAAGGGCTCAAATGGGGGTCTAGTGAGGCATTTAAGCACTAGGTTTAATCCTATGCCGGTGTAGGTTGTCGGACTTCTGGGTAAATGTTCTGTATGCCAGTAAGGAAACAGTTGATGATTGGGTGTGCAAATATTGAGATTCCCTTGATCTTATGGTGAAAGGCTATAATAGCTGCGAAGTGTACTTTAATTGAGCTTGTTGAGAGACCCAGTTTCTTCAGTTCTAGTATGTAGTCCAGCACTAATGGGAGTGGCGCTGTAACTGTGGTTAACTGTTTTTGTCGACACCATACTGAGAACCTTTTCCATTTTTGGAGGTAAGTATTGCTAGTGGTCCATCTCCTGCTATTTAGTAACATGTGTTTAACTTGTTCTGAACAGGCTAATTCGTCATGTTGGAACCATGTAGGAGCCAGGTTTTTGGATTCGGGTGGAGAGTCCTGCCTTTGTTCTCTGAGAGGAGAGCTGCCCGCAGTGGAAGAGTTCATGGGGCACATACTGCCATGCGCATCAGGAAAGGGTACCAGATCTGCCTGGGCCACACTGGGACTATTAGTACGATGTGGGTCTTGTCAGCACGTATCTTCTGTATCACTCGTGAGATCAGTGGGTTCGGTGGAAATGCATACATGAGTGATGCGTCCCATGTGATGAGGAAGACATCCCCCAGTGACTGGGGTCCCAGTCCTGATCTTGAGCAAAAGAGTGGGCACTTGTGGTTTAGTGATGATGGAAACAGGTTGACGGGGGGAAGCCCCATCATTGAAATATTGACTGTAGGATTCAGTTATTTCCCATTCATGTTCCTGGGAAAACTGTCATGTTCTGGCATCTGGGGAGATAGGAGGCCAAGATGTTTACATTGTGGTGTATGCACCAGTTCCACAGTTTCATGGCCTCGGTGCATAATGAGAAGGAGTGAGCTCCTCCTTGGTGACTGATATAGAACATGCATGTTATATTGTCGGTCATTATCCACTGACTGGTTCTTTATCCCTGGTAGGAAGTGCCTGCAGGCACTGCGTACTGCACGTAGCTCTAGTAGATTGATGTGTCGTCAGGTTTCCACTGCTGACTACCTGCCATGAACAGTGCGTTGGTTCAGGTGGGCTCCCCAGCCTCTCAGTGAAGCATCCGTCGTGATTATTATTGATGGTGGATCCTGCTGAAAGGGGATCCCCATGCACACATTCTCTGGCTTTGTCCACCATTGTAAGGAGACCAAGACTTTTGGTGGTGCTGTTAGTCTCTTGTTCAGGCTGTGTTTGCTGGGGATGTATACTAAGCTCAGCCAGCCTTGTGGGAAGCACATATGAAGTCTTGCATGTCTTACCACAAATATTGTGGCCATCATGTGACCTAATAGTTGTAAGCAGGTTCGTGCTGATGTTTGAGGGCTGTTGTTGACTACTTAGATGAGGCCGGTCAATGTTACGAATCTGTTCAGGTAATGATACTCTGACCTGTGTGGAGTCAAGGTGTGCCCCAATGAAGTCCAGTTGTTGTACTGGAAGTAGGGTTGATTTTGTTCATTTATTTGTAACCCTAGATTCTGGAAGCGTGTGATAGTCTTCTGCACAATGTTTATCATTTCTTCTCGAGTCAGGCCTTTCAGTAGACAATCATCTACATATGGGAAAATCATTATCCCTTGTTTCCGTATGTGTGCCGCCACTAGTGCAAGGGTTTTGGGAAAGACTCTTGGTGAGGTGGAGAGGCCGAAAGGTAGTACTCTCTATAAACAGTGATCACCCCCCACTGTGAACTGTAGAAACCGTCTATGAGGGGTGTGTATGATGATGTGAAAATATGCATCTTGTAGGTCGAGGGCTGAAAACCAGTTCCCGCTGTCTAGCACTGGTATTATTGTGGCCAGTGTGACCATCTTGAATCTTTGGGTTTGTAGAAATTTGTTGAGCTTTCTGAGATCCAGGATGGGTCTCCAGCCACCAGTTTTCTTCTGGGTCAAGAAATAGTGGGAGTAAAAACCCTTCCCTCTGTGTTGTGGGAGAGCTTGCTCCATGGCACCTAACTGTAGAAGATGGTTCACTTCCTGTCTTAAAAGGTGCTCATGAGAAGGGGCCCTGAAGAGTGACTGGGAAGGGGCTGAGGTAGAGGGGTGGGAGAGAAAGGGGATGGCATGGCCCAATTTTACGATCTCCACCACCCATTGATCCATTGTTAGCGACGCCCAGACTTGGTAAAATGGGCGTAGTCGATGGTCAAAGAAACATGGTATTGGCGCTGTATAGTGGGGGAGGTTGTTCACACCGCAGACCAAATATTCAAAACTGTTATTTGGAGGAAGCCAGTTGCGATGTTGAGGGCTGAGTTTGAGGTGTTCTCCAGCTCTGTAGTTTCTTTGTAGTTTGTATTGTCTTTGTTGTGGGCAATGTTTTTGTGTCCAAACCCACGGAAAATAAACAGAAATTGGGCTTGTTTTAGGCTGAGTTGGCTAGTGTTGGCTAGTTTTTGGGCTTGCTAGGGCTTTTAAAGTAGCTTGTAACTGTTTGCTTCTTTTTTTTATTGGCTCCCGGCCCCGTCCCACCCCCAGGCCCAGCCAATCAAAAAGCTTGAATGGTGATTGGCATTTGGCTCCAGCTGCTGCGTCGCCTGCGTGCCTGTGCGTGGTGACCTGCACGTGGGGCGACATGACGTGCATGTGGACTGTGCTTTAAACAATTTGAAGTTCCTGGGTTCTTGCCTGGCTCAGCCAGATATTAGCTCCCCAGAGGCAACAGCAAGGAAAGTAACCAACACCCAGCGGGGTGTCAAACAACCCATCAACAACCATTGTCCAGCAAGGGAGCTACAATTCAATGACTCACCTGCATGAGGCCAGGGGAATTGCTCAACCTTGCCTGGAGACTCAGCAATGCCCCCAGACATGCCTGGACTTGTGTTTTCCAAGCACATGGATGGAGGGTATAAAACCGAACACAGGGGTCCCGGCCCATGCTTGGCCTTTCTCCTTCACCTATCTACACTGCAAGCAACAAGGACACTCTGAAGTCTCCAACTGAGGGGACTGGCCCAGATTTCAAGAGTGAAATCTGTGTACTATGAACTGCAATATCCAGTGGGGTGAGAAAAACGGCTTCATCTAGATGTTGCCCAGTCTAATAGGGTCGAGAGTTTAGACTGGTTGCTTATATTTTGTTTTCTTTTGGTAACTAACTTTGATTTTTTCCCTATCACTTAATATCACTTAAAATCTATCTTTTGTAGTCAATACATTTGTTTTACTGTTTATCTTTACCAGTGAGTATGTATGAAGTGTGTGGCAAATCTGCTCAGGTTTTGCAAAGGCTGGTGTATATCCACTTTACATTGATGAAGTGGTGAACTAATTAATAAATCTGCATTGCTCATCTTGAGCAGTGCAAGATGGTATATTCCTGGGGTACAGTGCTGGGAGCTGGTGGGGGGATTTGGCTTTGGGAGCATTCATGTAATCTATCTGGGTGTGGGGCTCCACATGCGGTTGTGCTGAGTGATCACAGCGCCTAGAGGGGTTTGCTGCTGGTCCCTAGCAAGGCATTGTAAGAGACAGCCCAGGCTAGAGAGAGTTCAGGGGGGCACAGTGGTCCCACAGTCCCAGACTGCACCCCGGGGATCCCGTCACAGAGTGTTGGGGTTCTTTTAGGGATTGGCTTGTTTTGGCCTTGTTTTGACATGGGATTAGCTTGTTTTTTGGCTTATTTTGAAATCCGGGTTGCTTATTTACAGCGTGAAAGTTGGCAACTTTACGTAGTGTCGCTGAGGAGTACACTTTTTTCAACCGAGGAGGTCGAGCCTTTTGTGGTCCTTGACCTGAGGGGTGGACCTGGATTGAGGCTCTTTGCCGCGTTGATTTGCGGCTTTGACCACTAGAGAGTTGGGTTGTGGGTGGGAGAACAGGAAATCCATCCCCTTGGTGGGGATATAATATTTTCTGTCCACCCTTTTGCACTTTGGTGGTACCATCACCAGCGTTTGCCAGATCATCTCCGCCCGTTCCATGATGGCATCATTTATCGGGAGAGCTATCTTGGAGGATGAAGATGTGTGGAGGATTTGTAACAATTTATGCTGTTTTATCCTGAACCATCTCCAGTGGGATATCTTGACTGATGGCTACTTGTTTAAACAGTTCTTGAAATTGTTTGAAGTCGTCAGCTGTGGTAGAGGGTGGTGGCATTATGGCTTTATCTGGGGATAATGATGAACTGTGTGCAGGTGATGTGACCTCTGGTCCATGCCTTCTTCTCTCTCTTCTCCTGTGTCCTCCAGTACCTCTGAAGTCTCCTAGCTAGGGGATGGTGGGGGTGACCAGATTTTGCCCCTGGTTGGAGTCGCTGGTCTGGTATGATGAGCCCTCTATGCCGCTCAAGGGTCCCTAAGGATCCATTGCAAGGGGAAGGGCATAGGTGGGCACATCCATGGCTGCCCATACCAAGGTTGTACGTCTTGTCTGTACTGGATTTTGAGTCTCATGGGTTCCCAAGGTTGCCTCCATTCAGTGGGTGAAGAGTGTTGAGCTGAAAAGAGACTTTCATCTTGATCATTGTCTTCATTGCTCAATATAGGTGGGGTGATAAGCGATATCATTTGCTGTATATTAGTACGTTCAGGAGAATCGTTGGGGCTGAACGGGGGTGACTGCAACACTGAGACTGCAATGTCTTTATGTTGTCAGAATTGCTTGGGTGCCATCAGTTTCAGTGCCATCGGTGTCGATGCTGTTGATTTAGATGGTACTGGTTGTCTGTGACGATGGCTTATGTATTGTCTTGGGTCTGTAGCTTGGTGCCAATATACTTGTTGGTGCCAGGGATCGGGGCATGGCCACTGGTGAGGGCCTTGGCACCATGTCTCTCACTGGAGTGGTTGGTGTCGTTGAGGGGGAGACATGTTTACGCCTCAACTCCTTCTCCTTGCAGTGGGGCTCGGCAGAGGTCCTGGTGTGGATGGTGCTGGAAGTGCCTGATGCCTCAAAGGTGCTCACCTGTATGGAGGTCAGCACCAAGGACAGCGACCTGGTTGGAGACCGCTTCTTTTTCTGTCTCTCTCTATGTGGGGAGGTTGCAGCTCTTTCTGCGTATTTTTGGAGGACTGGGTGATCTCTTTAGTTGAGGCTGTGCCTGGGGAGCCACCAGAAGGAGAGGTTCTTCTCCTGTGTCAGAGGCTGGCTGAAGTGATTTTTCCATCAGGATCAGCTTTAGGCATAGGTTTCTGTCACGCCTGGTTCTCGCTTTTAGGTTGCTACAGTGAGTGCACTTCTGAGGGATGTGCAACTCCCCGAGGCAACGGACACAGAAGGAGTGCCCATCAGAGATGGACATTGCTTCGCAGCATGAGCCGCATCTCTTAAATCCTGGGGGACCAGGCCTTTTGTAGTGGGGATATGTTTCCCGCTTCGGAAGAAGCTAACGTAAAAAATAAAAGGTGTTTTTTTTTTACTTAAGTGCTAAGTAGGTACTCCAATACTAACTGCACTACTTAACTCTACTAAACTCTACTGAACAATCTAATTTAATTTATTAAGGTTGAGCAAAAGATGTTGGGACACTGCCACAGAGCTCCGTCTCAGGCCGAGGACGGCTGAGAAGGAACTGAGGGAGTCGGATGGCGCACGCGCTAGATGAGGCACTAATGGTGCCGCAAGATGACTACTGTGCACACGGTACCCAGACAGACACTGCTACTGAAAATCTCTGATTAACGGCGCCGGGACGCCCCAATACCTGAAGTGGAGCGCCCGCAGGGACATCGCTTGAAGAAGAACCAGTTTTTCTGAGCTGTCCCTGTGAAATCTCAGTTACTCACTTGAACACCCTGGTCTGGAAGAGCAAGGTCTCCTTGAACTGCACCAAGTTAGCTTCTAGCTTGAACTGGGTGTAATCAACAATGGCACTGATTCGAAGTTCTAGCTCTCGGTTGTTGTCTTCCAGAACAGTGTGGGCGGGTTCGGGGTCTGTCTCTATCACCTTCAGACAGAAACGAGAAAAACAACAGTAACCTGACTAAGCACTTGAGCCCCTCAAGTCTCCAGAGCCAGACTTGGTACCACCATCAAAACTGCGAGGGCCATTCAGACACAACCATCCTGAACTTTCCTTCTGATACCCATTCCTTTGCCACTGATTATCTGGACATAGGTGCTGGACCTAGGGGTGCTGCAGCACCCCCTGACTTGAAGTGGTTTCCATTATATCCAGGGTTTACAGTTGGGTTCAATGGCTCTCAGCACCCCCACTATACAAATTGTTCCAGTGCCCCTGGTTCTGGAGCAAACAGATAGCACCCGGATGACAGGGAGAACTGTCCGTGGGAGCACTATGCGGTGGCTGTGCCTCAACCCTGTATCTCAGCAGAGGGGTCGAGGAAATGGTGTCTGCAGATCAGAGTTGGTGAAGAAGCAGAAAGGAGCCCAGGCCTGAATGACCGATATCACATTGCTCCCACCCCTTGTTAATACAGCGGTCCCACCATTGCAGACACTTGGGTAAAGAAGCCCATGGCTGAATGAACATAGAGACTGACTTTCCCTTTTTCCTTAGCAGTGGGTGTTTTACTCCAGATCATGGCTGGGAGTAAATGAGACTGAATTTCCTTTCCACCCCAGGTGAGGACAAGCGTGTCTGGATCAGGGTGGAGGGGAATCGATTGGAAAGGCCTGGAGGCACTGCTACTTCTTATGGATAAAGAAAAGATTTGGCTTCTAGGCCATTCAACCTTCCAAAACTTTGAAACATTCATCAACTATTTTTTGTTTTGACCTGATAAAAGCTATAAAGAGAGAGTTCTTGAAGAAAATACTTCTATGGATGCTTGAGCTGAGCTGCTACACAGCTAATGAAGCTACCTGCTAACACTTGTATAATACGACCCTGCACACAGTAATGATTTCATGAGGGAAATCTCAGCTGTTAAAATGTGGAAAGTGCTCACTTCAAAGTACAGGCAGGGTAACGGAAACACACAATGGGGAAGTAGGGTCGTTCTTCCACAAGCAATCTGTAGGGTCTAATTCCCTCCTGACCGAAATCAGGCTAAGACATTTTAAGGACAAAATGGACCATTAGATCATCTAGTCTGACCTCCGTTATAACGGAGGCCACAGCATTCCACCCAGCTGCCCATGCACTGTGCTCACTAGCCCACTGCACCACTAGGCTAATACCTATTTACAGAAAGGCCTCCAGTCTGGATTGGAGAATCCACCTCTTCCCTTGGTAGCTTGTTCCGATGGTTCATCACCCTGGCTGTTAAACTTTTGTGCAGAGCATCTGGAGCTGCTTAGTCAGCAGTGAATGTGACCCTTTGTCTTTAGGCTTTACACGGATGGCTCCAAATGCTATTGTGTTTGTTTCACTTGTTCTTACCTTCCTCTTTGTTGGGCGCGTGGTCGTCAGGCTCCTCAGAGCATCCACCCACTTGACAGTATGCAGGCGGTCATCCCAGTCAGGGACCTGGTCCGCAGGATGCTGGAAGGTGATTCTGGACACCTTACACTTAACCGTGTGCATTTTGAAGGTGACAGGAACATTAGATTTCAAAGTCACTGTGATATCCTTAGCACATTCAGCATGGAGGTGGCCAACCTGGAGAGGATCAGAGAGCCAATGCCATTAGTTCATCCATGGTCAGTCTGTGGCCAGCAAAGGATGGAGTGTTATTGTGAGCTACATGGAGAAGAAACGGAATGGCTAGAATGCGAGTCTGCATTTTCCCATGCAGTGAATTTGGTGCCAGATTCACCTCTGTTTAGTGCTAGCCTAGGCAATGGTGGTGCGTGCTTCCCCACATGGACACCAGCCACAACACACTCAAGGGACCACCTCTAGGAAGCTGCTCCACCTGGGTCTAATGGAAAGAAGATGCAAAGCTGGATATCAGCATACAGATGACACCGGAACCTATAGCAATTCAGTCTCGCTCAGTGGCCTCATGTCACAGGGTTTCTGGTCCCGTAAATGAAGGAGGTTCAGCTCACCTGTGCCAGAACAGCCGTTCTCAGTTTGGCCAATGAAGAGGGTGGAGTGGCACCTGGGGGAGAGCCGGTGAGGACTAGGGAGAGCCGGTGAGTCAGGAGGCCAGCGAGGTCTCTGGGGCCAGCTGTAGAGAGCCTCCTGCAGGCCCTCTGTGGAAAGAGGGAGGTATCCCCAGGAAGTCTACTGACTTTCAAGAGCCAAAGCCAGTGCCAGGAGGTTGAAAAGGGCTGAGGGCTTGGGAGGCAGCAGAGGGGCTAGCTGGCAGACCTTCCTGAGCCAGAGAGCCAAGCCAGAGACAGCCAGAGAGGGCTGAAGGCTGAGAGCAGCAGGGGGAGACACTTGCTAGCTCTCTAAGCTGGAGAGCTGAAGGCAGCAGGCCAGAGGGGGCTGAAGGCTGGGAGTGAAGTGTGGTGAGGGGCGCCAGAGTCAGACTGATGAACGGGGGCAGAGTGAGGGCGGCAGGGCTCTCCTCGAGGTACTGTTATGGTTTATGTGCAGGGGATGTTTGTAATAAATTAACCCCAGAGGGCTATTTGTAGTAAGAAAGACTGTTTGGGCTATTTCTGGGGACTCTGGTGGAGGGAAACTGAGGCAGGCATCCCTGTTCTGCTGCAGGAGGGTGTGCCAGGAAGGCGCAGACCTATTACACCTTACTTTAAAAAGGGAATGGCCATTCTGAACCCAGTGAAATTCTGCAACCAAGAGCCCTCAGGGAGCAAGAGCAGTTTCCCAGCAGGGTGGGATCCCATGACTCCCCCACGAGGGCTGACAGTTCTGCCTCCCACCTTTGCAAGTCCAAGGATTCAGAGAACTGACCCAAGACACAAACCGGAGCGCCTGCATGGCAGCCAGGAGCACTGCCACCTATGGGTCAGTGCTCTGCTAACTACATATCACTTGCTGAGCAACCTCTTGTGCATGGATAAAACAAAGTGGTCCCTGTATACCTGGGGAGAGAAGACAAGCGAAGCCGCAGCCGGCCATTCAAACCTCATCACGTCTGCTTTGCTGCGATTGGTTATCGTGAAGGTCACCTGGTAGGGCCTCCCGATGTGACAGTCCCCAAACTGGATGTGATCTTCTCTGGCAGCTAGGAAGAACGAAAATGGGGATGCTCACTGATTTGGTTATAGCACTTGTAGGGCAGTGACGACTCGCACAGCACGTGGCTCCCTTCCCATCCATTGGCACATACACGCCTACTTCAACCAGACAGGGCTCTTAAAGCAGCCCCTCCTCAAGCAGTGCATCCAGCTCTCATCCACGGACACATGCACCTCTCCACTCACTGAAATCAAAAGGCCTCCACAATACATTACAGCCTGAAACACACCTTTCCACTTGGAGGACATACGCTCAGGTGTCCTGTGTAACAGAGACACACAAACCCAGCTGTAGAGAGGGCACAATAAGTAGGGCCCTACCAAATTCACTGTCCGTTTTGATCAATTTCATGGCAGAGGGTTTTAAAATTGGTCAATTTCACAATTTCAGATGTTTACTTCAACAGCAGCAGGCTCAATCCAAAATCCTGATTTACCTTCTAAAAACCTCGAAGGGACCAAATTATTCTGAACAATGCCTCTTACCCTCCACTCTGTCCTCCTCCAGCTGCCCCTCTGCATTCTCCTCGTTGCTCTCTGCTACCAGCCCATGGATGTTATCCAGCGTGATATCGTCTTGGTAGCCCTCTCCCACCATCTGAATGCAGGTTTCCTCATACTGATTGTCCACCACTGACAGATGGATTTTCCCTTCCACCCGCTGGGCCAGGCTGGGTTTGAAAAGCACATCAAACTCTGCCGACTCACCATTCTGCAGGATTAGGGAAGCTGTGTGGGGTTTCCTTCCTGCAAAGGAATGGAGTGTTTGGGCTGGAAATCAGAACTGAGAGTTGCAGACTGTCAGGGTTCCCTTCCCACTCTGAACTCTAGGGTACAGATGGGGGGGACCCTCATGAAAGCCCCCTAAGCTTATTTCTACCAGCTTAGGTTAAAACCTGGTACGCTGTCACCACCAAGTGATTTAACAAGAAACAGGGAACGGGCCACTTGGAGTTCCTCTTGCCCCAAAATATCCCCCCAAGCCCTTATACCCCCATTTCCTGGGGAGGCTTGAGAATAATATCCTAACCAATTGGTTACAAAGTGATCAAAGACCCAAATCCCTGGGTCTTTGGACAATGGAAAAATCAGTCAGGTTCTTAAACGAAGGATTTTATTAAAAAGAAAAGGTAAAAATCATCTCTGTAAAATCAGGATGGAAAATAACTTTACAGGGTAATCAGATTCAAAGAGCCCAGAGGAACCCCCTCTAGCCTAAGTTTCAAAGTTACAACAAAACAGGGATAAACTTCCCTCTAGCAAAGGGAACATTCACAAATTGAGAAACCAAAGATAAACTAATACGCCTTGCCTGGCTGTTACTTACAAGTTTGAAATATGAGAGACTTGTTCAGAAAGATTTGGAGAGCATGGATTGATGTCCGGTCCCTCTCAGACCCAAGAGCGAACAACCCCCAAAACAAAGAGCACAAACAAAAGCCTCCACCACCCCCCAGATTTGAAAGTATCTTGTCCCCTTATTGGTCCTTTGGGTCAGGTGTCAGCCAGGTTACCTGAGCTTTTACAGGTAAAAGGATTTTGGTGCCTCTGGCCAGGAGGGATTTTATAGTACTGTATACAGGAAGGTTCATAGTCATGACACAGAAGGAAACATTCCTAAGAGGTTTGAAGAGGAAAACCAGCTAAAGCATGGCTGTCTCCAAACCCTTGTTCTCCTGGAGGATGGCTGAGTTCCACCGGGAGGAGGTCTCATGACAGACTCGCTCCATACTGCAGGCTCTATGAGTATGTCTTTGCTGCAGAGGTAACTTGGGCTCTTACTGAGGCTACGTCTTCACTACGGGGGGGGTTGATTTAAGATACGCAAATACAGCTACGCGAATAGCGTAGCTGAATTCGACGTATCGCAGCTGACTTACCCCGCTGTGAGGACGGCGGCAAAATCGACCTCCGCAGCTTCCCGTCGACGGCTCTTACTCCCACCTTCGCTGGTGGAGTAAGAGCGTCGATTCGGGGATCGATTGTCGCGTCCTGATGGGACGCGATAAATCGATCCCCGAGAGGTCGATTTCTACCCGCCGATTCAGGCGGGTAGTGTAGACCTAGCGATGCTGGTTCCAACCTGACTCCCATCCACACACAAAACCCTCCTCACTCCATCCAGTGTGATGGTGCTTTCAAACAGGGCTAGCTGGTCTGTCCATGGTTATCGGCTACAGGTGAGGCACGGCTTTCTCTCAGGCTGGTAACCCACCCACTTTGCAGCAAGTACTCAGGCTAAACCATTTGAGTACTGGTAATCCTCAAATGCCTTCCCACAATTCCCCCGTGTGCCCAGAAGGACAAATTCTCCCACAATTCACTGGGAAGGAATCACAGAGCAGCTCAACGCACTGCGGCACAAAGATCCATGGGAAGTGCCCCAGAAGTCCCGGTGTCTGCAGCACCAGTGAGGACCCAGTAACTCAGGCAGCACTTTCTGGCCTGGCTGCTCACTCCTGGTCTAGTCTAGTCTTGGGGCTCAGACCCCGGTGCCAATCACCTGAAGACATCCCCTACAAGACTGCTGGAATTCTTCACTCCTGCCAGACTCATTGCATTTACCTTCTCTGCCCGATTCATCCCCCTCACTCTGAGCCACATAGAGGCAGTGAGTGGTAGGCCTGGGTTTCAGTGAGAAAACTCCATAATCATCCAACAGGTCAACCATCACCTGGAGAAAGAAAAACACAAAGCATGGGAACACGGGCTAGGATATGGGGCAGCAAGTGGAGTCGTCGAATGTTACCGATGTTCCAGAGAACCGAACACTCATTGGTTTCACTGTTAGAATGTAACCACACAGAACAGACTATATTCCTCTGAAACTGAACAGACTATCATTAGAATTCATCTGAATACAACAGAACGCGATTAGAAGGTAATCAAATAGAACAGATTGTAATGAGAAAGTATTAAAAGGTAACTATAGAATAGAATTAAAATAGAATTCATTTTAATACTTTCTCATTACAATCAAGTAGAATAGCATGTAATTATAGTGTAATAGCATGGAATTAAATAGAATAGAATGTAACTGAGTAGAATGGAATTAGAACATAATAGAAGGTAATTAGAAGGTAATCAAATAGAATAGAATGTAATTAGACAGTATTAAAATGTAATCATGTAGAGCAGAATGGAATTAGAATGTAACAGACACATTCTCATAATTAGAACCAAACTGTGAAGAGGAAAACAACAGTTTTCTTCTGATATTGTTAAGTAAGAATGACAAATTGGTCAGAAAATCACACGCCCCCAGGGGCAAGTAAGTGAAAGTCAGTCATTTGCTCTCTTGGCTGACTGACACCCATTTCAGTTAGGGTATGTCTACACTGGAAACTTCAAAGTGCTGCCGCGGGAACGCTCCCGTTGCAGTGCTTTGAGGTGCGAGTGTGGTTGCGCGCGAGCGCTGGGAGAGAGCTTGCCTGGTAATCCACCTCCACGAGGGGATTAGCTCCGAGCGCTGGGCTCGGGGCCTGTCTGCACTAGCGCTTTAAAGCGTTCAGAGTTGCTGCGCTCAGGGGGGTGATTTTTCATATCCCCGAGTCAGCAAGTTAGAGCACTATAAAATATAAGTGTAGACAAGCCCTTAGTGGTTTATTAAGGCACAGAAAGGAGAAGACAGTGAAGAAGTTATTGGAAAGGAGACAAAGATGACCAATCAAAAGCCTTCCCCTTTGGAATTGTCCTATAGAATCTGATAGCAAATAGGAGCTTTTCTATTGGTCTCCAGAAGCATCCTATGGAGTTTAATAGAGAATTATATCCTTACTATGGAATTCTATAGGATGGTTCAAAACACATGCAGAAGGGATCCCATTCTCTATTCAATTCCATGGAGTTTTAATGTGCTTTCTAGACATCTCTACTGGCTTCATTTGTATTAAGTTCTATAAGGCTTGTCCATAACAGGAGGAGAGTTTGCTTCAGTGCCATCTTTTAAGCTTTTGCCTAGCAAGTTATTACCTGGACGGGTATCATGCCACTGTTCTTAAGGACAAAAGGGAGTTTCTCCGATCGCTCTAGCAAGAGCCTCTTGAAGAGGAGCAGTGGGTTCCCTCTTTTGTTGCGGAGGACAGGGCGCAAGATGGTCACTCGGGGGAAGTTCCCGTCCCCGGTGATATCAAATGTTAAATTTCGTGATTTGGCAACCAAGCTGCAGGGAGTAGGAAAAAATCATTGTTCCAGGCACATGCTTACTATGTACACAGAGAACAGGAAAGCCCACCCCCAGGAAGCAGTGGGTTAATTTACCTTGGCAGTCCATCAATGAAAGCCTCAAAAACGCACTGGTAGCTCTGCATCGTCTGTGGGGTGAAAGTCACGGTAGCAAAGGCATGGGAGCGGCTGGGGACGCACATCCGAATGGGATCCACCTCGAAGATGTCGTTAATGCGGGCAGCAGCCTTAGGGAAACCCAGACAGCAGGGGTGGTTGTGAAATACCCCTCCCATAGCCATAGTCAGTGGAATTCACACACACAAAACACACACAGTGTAAGAGCCACATGGGCAAGACTCTTCCTTCAGCTGTCAGGAGGTTGTCCACTCCTGTCACAGGAAGGGATGTCAAACAGCATGTTTCTTGACTTAACAAATGTGCTGTCAGGATCAGAAAAACCACATCCTGTTCCAAGTGGTGGGAAATAGTGGGGTATTTGAGACAACAGTGTGTGATAACTGAAGGCAAGGGCCCACCACTGCAGCATAGCAGATAGCTGTTTGTATGGCTGTATTAGTCCCTCAGTTAACTCCACACTTCAGTGCCCAGATTATTTATTGCTCATCATAGAATCATAGAATATCAGGGTTGGAAGGGACCTCAGGAGGTCATCTAGTCCAACCCCCTGCTCAAAGCAGGACCAATTCCCAACTAAATCATCCCAGCCAGGGCTTTGTCAAGCCGGGCCTTAAAAACCTCCAAGGAAGGAGATTCCACCACCTCCCTAGGTAAAGCATTCCAGTGCTTCACCACCCTCCTAGTGAAATAGTGTTTCCTAATATCCAACCTAGACCTTCCCCACTGCAACTTGAGACCATTGCTCCTTGTTCTGTCATCTGCCACTACTGAGAACAGCCGAGCTCCATCCTCTTTGGAACGCCCCCCCCCCCCTCAGGTAGTTGAAAGCAGCTATCAAATCCCCCCTCATTCTTCTCTTCTGGAGACTAAACAATCCCAGTTCCCTCAGCCTCTCCTCATAAGTCATGTGCTCCAGACCCCTAATCATTTTTGTTGCCCTCTGCTGGACTCTTTCCAATATTTCCACATCCTTCTTGTAGTGTGGGGCCCAAAACTGGACACAGTACTCCAGATGAGGCCTCACCAATGTCGCATAAAGGGGAACGATCACGTCCCTCGATCTGCTGGCAATGCCCCTACTTATACAGCCCAAAATGCCATTAGCCTTCTTGGCAACAAGAGCACACTGTTGACTCATATCCAGCTTCTCGTCCACTGTGATCCCTAGGTCCTTTTCTGCAGAACTGCTTCCTAGCCATTCGGTCCCTAGTCTGTAGCAGTGCATAGGATTCTTCCGTCCTAAGTGCAGGACTCTGCACTTGTCCTTGTTGAACCTCATCAGGTTTCTTTTGGCCCAATCCTCCAATTTGTCTAGGTCCCTCTGTATCTGATCCCTACCCTCCAGCATATCTACCACGCCTCCCAGTTTAGTGTCATCTGTAAACTTGCTGAGAGTGCAGTCCATGCCATCCTCCAGATCATTAATAAAGATATTAAACAAAACCGGCCCCAGGACCGACCCTTGGGGCACTCCGCTTGAAACCGGCTGCCAACTAGACATGGAGCCATTGATCGCTACCTGTTGAGCCCGACGATCTAGCCAGCTTTCTATCCACCTTACAGTCCATTCATCCAGCCCATACTTCTTTAACTTGGCGGCAAGAATACTGTGGGAGACCGTATCAAAAGCTTTGCTAAAGTCAAGGAATAACACATCCACTGCTTTCCCCTCATCCACAGAGCCAGTTATCTCCTCATAGAAGGCAATTAGGTTAGTCAGGCACGACTTCCCCTTGGTGAATCCATGCTGACTGTTCCTGATCACTTTCCTCTCCTCTAAGTGTTTCATAATTGATTCCTTGAGGACCTGCTCCATGATTTTTCCAGGGACTGCCCCTTTGTGTCTATCATGAATCTCACTAACTACCAGACTAAAGGAGAGAGAGTCATCCAGCTGAAGAAGAGGAAAAGAGATCAAAAGGTGCTGAAAACAACCCAGACTGGCTTTATGCCGGGGCAGACCAACACATCAGTGCCATTCCTCGGGGTATAATTTTGTCAAGGGTCAGGATCGATTTAAGGAAGGGGCTTCTCAGTGTGGGATGCTGGCAAGTCTGGCAGTGGAAAGGGGGGATAATTAGGGTTTCTTATCACAAAACCGTTTGCTAGGTTCTTCTGACTGGCTGCTGTGAGGAATGGGGTCTCTGTCACCCCATGGGAGAGAGGGGACATTTGTAGGAGCTGGATTTTATAATGTACTATGAGAATTAATGTATGATTTGATTTCATCCGGTCAGCCACCCTTTTTGAATAGCAGAAAGGAATGACAGACCAGAACAATCCTTATGAGTGATTATGGTCACCCTTTTGTTTTAGGATAAGTTATAATGTCTACTATGGTTTCCTATATGTATTACAATATAGGCACTCTAGTTAAATATACATTTCTTTGTTTTAAGGTTTTAGTAAGTAAGAGACAGGATTCTCTATTGTCTCTATGTTAAGTAGATTAGAGGAACATTGAAGGCCTGGGTCCCAATGTAAATTGTCTTGGTTATTGATTGTAAAACTTAGCAGGGTTTAATTTGAAATGCCTTTTTGCTCGATATAAAATACTACTGTTTGTATTCTCAATCTGTTTGTGTGAATGAGGAATGTATGCATCAGGAAAAGATAAGTCAAGGAACAAGGAGTGAAGAGACTTAAAGGACATCAAAGAATCATCAATGCACATCCATAATGAAGGGCAGACTGGCGACCCTGAGGTGAAGGCTGGCACCCCTAAGGACAATTGATTAAATCAGAACAACGGAACAAAGGACAGGATGACCCTCTAAATGCTGTGTATTTACCTTCCTCTATAAAGATCCCGTGTGCTTTGTAAGAGCAAAACACATTTCTCTCTAGGACTCCTTAGGGATTGCTTTCTTCGAGGTGGTTACTAATCAGATCCATATCTTATCAGATCCCATGTGATCAGTGCTCAGCTTCCCGTACCTCATTCCAGGCACCGCCAGCAATGAGCTGATCAGAGCTTCACTGTGGATCTGGCAGCAGGATCAGCATGGGCAGCAGTCTAACACTGCTGGGCAGGGGTGGGAGTGACATTCTATTACCCTGCACTGCTCCAGACCAGGCAAGGCTGAGACACACATCTCAGAAACCCTGCATGAAACTCCAACTTGCTTGTGGGGCCTCCAGTGGATGGTCCCACACCCGACCCTTCAGCTCTTATTCTGACCTTGCTGGAGACAGGCTTGACCGCGAGGACTACGTCACAAGGAATTCTGCCCACATTGGCGATCTTGAACCGAGCTGTTGCCTGGTGCCCAACCAGGACGTTACTGAAGATGAACTTGTTCTCATCTGATACAAACACTCCTCCGCCTTCCACTGCCTGCAGGATCTGGTAAAGGTTGATGTTGCTGCAGATCCGATGTTCCTCAAAAATGGACCCGATGTCATCGACCACAAAGGCTGAGGGAAGAGAGACATGACAGCAGAGACAGTGTGTTCTCCTCTGGCTGAGAAACACAGGCCTAGTTTGTCTTGGGAGCAACGCTACTGACTTCAGTGGCATTAATGCAGGATGAGCTTGACTCCAGAATCCTGTTTGCACAAGTCAGGGCAATGGCACACCCCTGAGTGAGTTGTCAGCAATTTGTATTGAACCTCAGACCTCTGGATCTTAAGGCATGTGCCTCTATCACCTGCATTTGTCTACCCCGCAGCCACTCAGTGTGGCACTCTGTCCCACATTAGTGGTGGCTGGGCCACTCTGAGAGGGGTCGATGAGCCCACTACAGTCTGAGCCAACATTTATTTCCAGCAATAGCAGCTCAGACTTTCAGAACCAGAGAGCCCAGGTTCAATTCCCACTGCCAATAACCCCCCCAGGGGTGTGGGGTTACACCAGTGGCAAAGTTCACAAAGCCCAGCTCTCCAGGCTGTATTCCTGTATGGAAGGGCCTTCACCGGGGACAAAACTATCAGGAGGAGAGAACATTCGTTGTACACAAAAACGGTAACTGACATCACAGGAACATTTCTGTGCTTTCCCTGCTGTCATGGCTCTCTGGGCAACCTGGCACTGCACTGCCCCCTAAACAGGCCTGATCTGGCCCTTGAGGTTAGCATGATGCATTCTTCCACTGACCCCAGGGTAGAACTGCTCCCTAACGCCCTGGCCCGATTTACAGCGGGTCAGACCCTGAAGCCCTTATCCGTTCCTTTGACTTGGACACATTTTGCTCGAGTGAGGATGGAGCACAGCTGAAGCACACACTTCAGGGTTTGGCCCAGAATCTATTCCTCAGGCCAACTCTTTTCTCATGATCCCTCATGGCAAAAAAGCAACAGCGACTGAGGAATGGCAAAGCAGATATGCTGCAGGCCTCTCTGTCAGCCTATCCAGCCCTTCCAGACGCCAGCCTCTCTCGGGAAGGAAGGGGATAGAAGGCCCAATCCAAAGCCCCCGGAATTCAGTGAGAGACTTTCCACTGACTTCAGCTGGGCTTGGATCAGGCCCAGAAGGAGCTGGGCAAGCCCGTGCTGAGAAACGCTATCTACTCAGCTCCTGCTGGAGCTCTGCATTGGTGACTGTTGCGACACCAGGCTTTGAAAGGGTGACCCAAGCTGGGGGCAGTGCAGAGGAGGAGGCTGCAAGATTTGCCCTGTGGAGTTTGGGAGAGTAGGAATGTCCAGTCTAGAGAAAGGGAGGCCAACCAGCTGTGGACGAGACCAAAGGGGAACGGAGAATGATCGTTCTCTCTCGTCAGCCAGGACTGAGCCAGAAGCAAGCAGGGGAAAACACAGTGAAACATTAGGAAATACCCGATACCTCTGTGACAGCTAAATAACTGTACAGGCTGTCAGGGGTCACTGGCCCTTCCCCTTACTGACCTGGTGGATCAGATCGCTGGTTCGTCAGCTTCTGCCTCCTACCTCCAGCAGTTGCCAGCTGATGCCTCAAAAGAAAACAGTCCTCCCTGCTCCATACAGCACACCTAGGCTGGACACCAGCGAGGGGGAATGCCTTCCTGAGCCTGCCTGCAGTGGTCAGTATACACTCTGAAGCATGAGAGTTGGTTACCTGCTATCCCATAATGTGCTGCCAAATCCAGCAAGGAATGGAGGCAGGCAGTGGAGATTTTCAAGATGAGCCATCTTCTCTCTCAAGGGGGTGTCAGGGATAATGCCACCCCGCTCCATATGCTCCTTGGGGAAGAGGGAGTGGACGCAGTGATTCAGCCAGTGGCTGTACAGAACATGTCTATACCTGGTAGGCATGACTCAGCAATCAAGGTGTATGGGATGCCTCCCGGATTATCGTCAGGGTCCCTGTCGGTGATGTCAATGGCCAGGTATTCCTCACACTTTCCCACTGGCTCTGCTAAACAATCAACTGTGATGATCTGTTGGCCTCCTGCAGGGATGGATCCAAATCCAGGATACACTGTGAACATGCCTAGAGTGAAGCGAGCCTGCAAAAGAATCCAGGGAAAGCCTGCCTCAGATATCCTGCCAGTTAACAGTCCCAGGAGAGGAGCATTCCACTCCCTTCATTTCTCCCTGCTTCCCTACAGCCAGTCATGACCACTGCACATTCCCTGGGGCCGCTAGGACATGGAACGAACTCTCAGTACTCCAACAGCCTCCTAAAGAGGATGCACAAAGCATTGGGCTGTCAGTTTAATGGTCATGTCATGTGCACACAGCCAAGTTCAGGAACCTGCGGCAGGGGAAGCACCAGAAACCTTCTGGTCAGCGTAAGAGTGATGTTGCCAAACTGTAGAAGAAGCAGCATCTGATCCTCCCTGGTCAAAGGAAGGGGGATTGGGAAGTAAAGGGAGGGGAAAACAGCAAGGATCCTGATTTCTGGTGGGGAGCAAAACAAAAAGGAGAAATATCTTCCTGGAAAAGTAGGAGGGAGGAAGGAGAGTAGAAAGGTTGGGGGAGAGAAAGGGGAAAGCACGTGAGAAAGAAAATCACCCAGAGTAAGAACATCAGCTCTGGAGCAGACATACCGTGAATGACAACAGCACATGCTCTGATCTAGCTGCCCAGGCAGGGTCACCCCTGGGGGAGCGGAAGAACTCAGACTGGAGAAGGGCCCTAGCAGACACTGCAGCGGATGTGAGGAGCGGGTTGGAACATGCACCCACCTGCGCAACAAGGTTGATGTCCTTCTGAAGAGATTCCGTGCGCTTGCTTTGTTTGCCAATAGGAGGGATTTTGCTTAAGGTCTCGCTGTCACGGGAACGGGAGTGCTTGATGTGAGATGGTCTGGAAGGAACAGCAGAAATACATCATGCTGGGGTCTCCACTGTGTCCAATCCCGTCCTGGGTTTGACTGTCCCAGGGCTGGGCTTGCCCTAGGAAGGGGCACACCCATTCTGAGCAAGTGCCAAATTGAATACACACACGAGCATGCCTGACTGAAGGCCATTAACAACAACACTGGTCACGTATGCAATCTCTCATCCATAAATCCCAGCACTTTACAAAGAAGGGCACTAATAAGCCCTATCTCTTCTATAGCACTTGTCATCAGCAGAGCTCAAAGTGCTTTACAATGGAGGTCAGTGTCATCACCCCCATTTTATAGATGGGGAAACTGAGGCACAGAGTCGTCAGCATTCGCTGGTGCTTTCTCTTACCCCTTTTTTGGTAGGATGGGCAGATCTCGTATTAGCTTGCCGATGAAGTATTTGAAATCAAGAGCACCTTTGTTCTCCAGAGTGAAGCTGCAGGTCTTCCGGGTGCTGTTCATCATGGAGCCAAAGTTGACGAGCGAGGCTGGGGAAATGCTGTACTTGGTGAACAAAGAATTCACTGACACTTTCACTGGAATGCTGGCAATGGTCTCGCCTCCTTCACAGACATTGGGCTCAATCACCTGGGCAGAGGAGGGTGGATTGACAAGTGGAGTTTAGAGGACTCTGCTGGTCTGTCTCATAAATCCACAGAGTTGCTGCCTACAGCCCGGGAGCCATGGCACACTTAGCCAAGCACTCCCCCCCGCTTGTGTCAGTTCCCTGGTGACTTGAAGGCCTTTGTCGTTCCTAAGATTACCCTTGCAAAGACTTGGCAGAAGTCCCTAGGAGCTTTCATGGATTCACAGATTCCAAGGCCAGAAGGGACCACGGGGATCACGTTGCCTGACCTCCTGTGTAGCACAGGCCAGAGAACTTCCCCCCAATAATCCTAGAGCAGAGCTTTGAGAAGAACAGCCAGGCTTGATTTAACGATCGTCAGGATAGAGAATTCACCACGAGCCTTGGTAAATTGTTCCAATGGTTAATTACCCTCCCTGTTAAAAATGTACGCCTTATTTCCAGTCTGAATTTGTCTAGCTTCAACTTCCAGCCACTGGATCATGTTAGACCTTTTGTCTGCAGAGCCCATTATCAAACATTTGTTCCCTGTGTAGATACTTATGTTCTGTGATCACGTCACCCTCAACCTTCTCTTTGTTAAACTAAATCGATTGAGCTCTTTTAGTCTATCGCTATAAGGCAGCTTTTCTAATGCTTTAAGCATTCTCATGGCTCTTCTCTGAATCCTCTCTAATTTACCAACATCCTTCTTGAGTTGTGGGCACCAGAACTGGACACAGGATTCCAGCAGTGGTCGCACCAATGCCAAATACAGAGGTAAAATAACCTCTCTAATCCAATTTGAGATTCCTCTGTTCATGCATCCCAGGATCGCATTAGCTCTTTTGGGCAGACCGTTACACTGGGAGCTCACGTTCAGCTGATTATACCCACCATCCCCAAATCTTTTTCAGGGTCGCGGCTTTCCAGGGTAGAACCCCCCATCCTATAAACATGACCTACATTCTTTGTTCCTAAATGAATACATTTAGCTCTATTAAAATTCTATTTTTCCTTGCACCCAGCCTACCAAGCAATCTAGATCACTTTTGAATCAGTGACCTGACCTCTTCATTATTTTCCACTTTTTTCCACCCAGTTTTTGTGTCATCTGCAAACTTCATCAGTGATGATTTTATGTTTTCTTCCAGGTCAGTGATAAAATGTTAAATAGCACAGAGCCAAGAACTGATCACTGCAGGGCCCCACTGCAAGCATATCCACTTGATGATGATTCTCCATTTGCAATTACATTTTGAGACCTATAACCTAGCCAGTCTGAATCCACTGATCGTATGCTAGGTTCATTTTATATCATTCTAGTTTCCCCACCGCCAACACTCTTGCACTATTTCCCACTGGAGAACGCTTGAAGTGGAGTCCCTGGGTGTGAACTTTCATACAGTCAGCCATCCTGAACCATCCTTCTTACCGAAACCTATGATGGAGCAGCTGCGAATGCTTCTCTACTCCAGTCACTGGGTCAGTACTATTCCTTGCAGTGACTCCTGCTGAAAGGGGCTTAGAGTGAAATCTTCTATGCTCCTGCATTATTCTTCTTATAGGGACTTCTTGGCTAGGAAAGGCTAAACCTGGAGCAGCCTTGAGCTTTAAGGTCAGGCTCCTTAATTCCAATCCTAGGAGAAGCTAGGCCTGGAGAGGCCAGGACTGCTGGCTCTTTAAATACCTATTCCAAAGCTAGAGGTGGATGCTCATCCCTGTTTCGGGAACATCATGAAAGGCTTTGACAAATACCTGGATGGTAGCACTGGATCCCTCAGTTAACCAGTGCATCCCCACTTGTGTGTGACAAGGAATAGACACAGCACACAGGGCGCCATCAGCTGGCTGTCAGAGCCATCCCAGCTTGGCCTGTGCCAAGGTCTTTACAGACATCTCACCTGGCAGTACAGGATAGGCTTATCTTCAATTTTCATTTCCTTCTTGGAGCGAAAGGTGATCTGGATCTGAGCGGGGCGGTCAACAGCGGCTAAAGTCCCCTTCTGGGGCTGGATGTTGAAGACAGAGTTCAAATGTGGCATGTTGGCTTCAGGGCATTCTAGAGTGAAGCTGAAGGATGGAGACAAAACAAAGACTCTTTGTGAATTGGCCTGTTCGGTTAAGGACACTAGAGCCCGTTGCATAGCCAGGAACCCAGTTAAGAGCCTCTGCACAAAACACTTAGGAATGTGAAAAGGGCCATTAAGATCTCACTCAGCTTTGTTCAAGAGATTCCAGATGGAAATTAAAACTGTGGACTTTAGCTTGATTTACTTCCAAGGCCAGATTTTCAAAGGGTCTGAGTTTTCTGTATGCACCTGTCTGTGCATGTAATCTGCATTTTCATGCCTAACTTCCTCGTTTGTAGGATGCAGAATGTGCCTATGCTTTGCAAAATAGAAGTTCTTAAAAAAAAACACCACCTGACACCTTGTGATGGGGTGTACCAGACCCTCTGAGGCCCCCTGCTGGAGGCCTCATGGCCCTGACACATCCCGCCCCAAAAAGGGCAGTGGAGAGAGTTCTCCAAGCTGCCTAGAGTGGCTAGGGTGATCAGATGTCCCGATTTTATAGGGACAGTCCCGATATTTGGGGCTTTGTCTTATATAGGTGCCAATTACCCCCCACCCCGTCCCGATTTCTCACCCTTGCTATCTAGTCACGCTAAGAGTGGCCGTGTGGGGCACAGCCAATCAGGGCCCAGCAGCCTAGTATAAGAAGAGCTGCCGGCCAGAGGGAGTTCAGTTCCTTGCTGGAGCTGTCGGAGCGTGGATGTGGTGTGGCCGGCTGACGGAGCTGCAGAACCCCAGACAGGGGAGCGCTGCCAGAATCCGGGGCGAGCAAGGAGGAGCCCTGAACTGGTTGCTGGGACTCCATTAGGACAAGGCCCTGAGGTAAGGGTGAAGGCACTGTGGGGAAAAGGCCCAGGGAATTAGAGCAGCGGTGTGACATAGTTAAAGGGACACAGCAGATGGCTGCGATCTATAGGGTCCCTGGGCTGGGACCCGGAGTAGTGGGTGGGCCCAAGCCCCCCCCACCCCTCAATAGCCACTGGGGGAAGTGGCCTGGCCATTGAGGCACCCCAGAGGGGGAACTGAACTGTAGTGCCCAGCGGGAGAGCTGCAGCCAGAAGGCCCGAGAGAGTGAGTGCAGGCACATGCACTCAGCCATAGGGGCGCTCACCATTGAAATCTGTACAGCCATGCCCACTGGAGAATGATTTACATTTTGTTGTGTTTCTTCTTCAGTTGTCACGCTGTGTAACATACAGTTGTTGGTGTGTTGAATATTTGAAAATGGTGACCTCTGAGCTTTGCTACTTACCCTGATTGTGATCTAGTCATTCCAGGAAGAGGTTATATCAAGGGGAATAACGGAACGAAAGACTGGACTGATGGGGACATCAAATGCTTATACATCACACCGCTGAAATAGTTACTCGTTTACCTGTATCCAATCTCATATTTTCCTTTGTTCTTCAGGGACACCATTTGCCTAGCTTCATCCAATACTCTAATGACCCCAAAATCCAAACCACCATCTGTACCTGAAGAGAAAGCCACAAGTGGGAGGAGAGATGGTGATGAATACTCAGGTCTTGCATGAAACACCCCTGCAAATCACAAGATTTGAATCTCCAGAAAGTCAAAGTCCTCCAGAGAAAGTCTTCTCAACATTACCCCGGGATGCTTCACTGCCCTTTTTGTTCTGTGGAGAAGAACTGCATGGCTTAGTGCTAAACATCGTTGTTTTCATTTCCTTGCAGTGCTACATGCCTAAAAGTATATGTCCTCTCAGTCTGTGAGCAGTGCAGACGTGCCACTTGCTGGCTTAGATAGCCTACATGTCAGAAAGCTGGAAATGGTTTTGTACGGGCTTATTGTGATGGTTTCCAACTCAACAAATAAAATAAATTGCATACAAAAGCTACTTTAACAGAAGGTTATGGTGAAGTCAAGCACTCAGAAGTTAGGAAATGCCAGTATTAAGGTGACCTTAATTCACCCCCTTGGTGTGTATATATCATGCTACAGTCTATAACGACATGGTCACTGACTATTTGTTCTACTGGACGCTGGCCTCATACAGTTATACATCTGGACCCTGTGCCTAATGAGGGCAACCTTAATTCTTACTGATCCGGCCAGGCCATCCTGAGTGTGGGGGACAAAGACTGACCTCTGGGGAAGCTGATGTCCAGAGCAACGTCATAGGACTCGGCAAGGATTTGGATGTTTTCGTACTGAACAATCCCCAGGATGTTTTCCATGTCTGAAACCTTAGGCAACAAGAAACAGCCGTCACTCAGCGCACCTCTGACCTCTGCTGATGAACATAACATGAGTTCTTCATCCTGCCAATGACACCCACCTCCTCCTTTGCCATCAGATTCCAGCATCAGCAGCAATCCAGCTGCAAGGCATTTCCTACCCTGCTAACCTCCTGGGCTGTCCCAAAAGGATTCTGCTGCTGTGTGAAACTTCAGCCTAGTTCTCCACCCTTCCAGCAGGAGACACTCACTACTAATGATGCTGTTTATGGTTACCAGCATAGTTTGCAATAAGAGATGTTCCTAACAACCCCCAGCTAAGCTCACGCCGAGGCAGCCTTTCTGGACATCAGCCCAGTCGCAATGTAGGAGGTAGGAAAGGGACTCCCGCATTGTGCCTTTTCCTGTGATTCGTTGCTACTTAAATTTCAAAACCAAGCTTGTATCCGGCAGGGCCCTGCAATGGGAAGTGGCAGAGGCTGTGCAGGAACCCTAGAGTGACTCCTGATGTGTCCAGTGGGACTAGCCAATGCCAAACGGAGAGCACCATGTCAGCAACCCTGAATCAGCCCAGTCACTGCTCCCTTGACCTGAACCAACCTGCCTCGGTGGGGGCGGGGGGGTGGATTTGTTGTTGGACGGCTCTATCATCAGGCTTTAGCCCCAGATGACTGGTGGGAACTGGGGCTGCCCCAGACTGAGGGGCAGAGTTGTTGGAGAGACCAGACTCCGGTCCAGCTGGGCTAGCCCACTGGGGATTTGTGAGACTCGCATGCTCCAGGATACACTGGAATATTTTGATTCAAATAAAGAAAAGCAACAGAAACATTGACAAAAATGGCCATTTATCCAGCTGTCTGCAGGTGCTACCTCCCCAGCCCATAACACCTCGCTTACCCAGCAGTGCCTCCCTGGTTACGTCATCTCCAGGACCTTACCCTTCTACAAGCTGGTCCCTTGGAGAAAGGCCACAGGCCAGAGCTGGCGTGGGGAGGGGAGCTGGAGAAGTGCTCCTTGCTGGTAGAAAGCTGTGTCATTCACAACACCTGCTCACCACCGTCCCACCCATCTCACCTGCCATTGGTGGTAACTGCCAAGTACAAACCTTAGTGCCAAGCCTCACCAATGCCCTCCAAAGTGTCGGAAGGCAGGGCTGCTGGGTTTGTAGGTGCTGGGGAGGGAAGGGTCTGCCTCACCTCCAGTCGGATGACCTTCTTAATGTTGAGAGGTTTTGTAGCCTTAAAATGCAGCTGCAGGCAGTACTCCGAGCGGGGACCGATGATGCCCTGGTCTTGTGAGACAGAGAAATCATCCCCCAAGTTCTCCAGGCCGCTGAGCCGCCAGGCTACAGGCATCGGGGAGGTGTTTCTCAAGAAAAGCATCTTGGTGTCCTTTCTAAAAGGAGAGGAAGACACTCAGCTGTTGCTGCCAAAGCAGCCATTTTAGTTTTGCATTTGAATGGGGCCCAGGCCGATCCAGTCTCACGTGGCCTATTAAGTCACACAGATCCAGCTGGACCCACAGGGTTTAACCATATTCAGTTCTTTCTTACTTTGCGTGTGCCAGAATCTTAAATTCAAGTTTTGGGGAGAATCACAGAGTTTTAGTTACAATGAACTCAAGCAAAATAAGAACTTAAGTAGCAGATCAACATCTGACAGGCTTGGATCTCTTTAACTAGCTCCATTCCTGCACATGGGAGTGGGGGCACTTGGGGTCATTCTGATGGACCAGCATGAGTGTGGGTCACATCCAGAGCCCCAGTTAGGAACAGGTGCTTCAGAGAGTATTCGTCGGTATTCCTGGGAGGACAGTGAATGAGAAGCGGATTGATGCAAGCATCTGGATCCTAGGCATGTGAATGGGACGTCGCCATTTGGGTTCTATGTAGTCTACGTCTATGTAATCCTGCCTCAGCATGGGAGGATGGATTAAATGACCTCTCGAGGTCCCTTCCACCCCTATATTTCTATGATTTCTCTGTCTGTTTTACTGTGACATTTAATCACTTGAACTTATGGGATTTAGAGTTAGAAGCTTAAAATAAGGACTCGTTCAATCGTAGGAAGGTGGAGGGGCGGATTTGCTGAGGAGACGTGGGACGACAAGTTGCGTTCAATGAGTCAACATGCTCCAGTCCTGGCTAGTGAGCAGGAAAACAGCCCTGCCTCCAGGGTGACCTGCAATGGGTGTAAAGGAGAAGACAGAACGGAGCCCGACTGCTCGCTGTCTGGTCTGTTAGATGCTGCAAGCCTAGAGGCAGGCTGGGAGAAGGTGGAGGAGCTGAGCACTGAGCTACAGAAACCAGACAAGCGAAGACGGGTCCCTTCTGTTCCCTGTGACATGCGCCTCACTGGAGGAAGGGTGCTAAAGGACAGGAAACCGGCAGGCGCACTGCAGTCTCACTGGAAAATAAGGGGCTAAAACACAGGAGTAATCCCTTGGGAGCTGCAGCATGGAGCGTATTGGTGCAGCCAATGCACAGACTTGTGAAAAGCCCCAATATCACCGACTGCTTAAAGAGTCCAGCCCGAAGAACAGGGTAATAATTTGGGGCCTAAACATGGGTGTAGTTTGGGGGGTTCAGCGGGGCCACTCCCCCCCGTTTCTGCGAGCATCGAGCTGCTCCTCATCCCGCAGGCCAGGCAGAGCAAGCCGGGCAGCCTGGCCGGAGTGGGGAGCAGGGTGGAGCAGATTCTCCAGGTTGCTACCTTGATGCCTCCTGGGTCCTATTGTTCACCTGTTTCCTGTACAACCATGGTGGGGGGGGGGTGGACCGGGAGGAGGGGGATGCAGGGAAGAGACAGTGGGGAAGGGGGGGATAGGGCAGGAGAAAGAGAAGGAGATGTGGGAGTCGGGGGAGGGGGATGAGGTGGGGAGGGGAAGAGCAGGAGATGTCGGGGGAGGGGAGAGGGGGAGTCCAGCATGTGGCATCCCCTCAGCTGCAGCCCCAGCCCCAGCCCCAGCCCCAGCCCCAGCCCCAGCCGGGAGTCACCAGAGCAGCTGCAGCGGCTGGTGCCAGAGTGGCCGCAGCTCCCATGCTCAGGTCACCACAGCAGACAGCAGCAGCTGGGGCTCCCCCATTAAGCAGCCCGGAACGTGCAGCCCAGGTAGCACTCCAAGTGAGGGGAGAGACCCAGAGCCAGGGAACAGGCCTCAGCATGCGCGCCCGCGCACTGGCCCCCCAGTACAGCCGTCAGATGAGGCAGTAATGGCAGGCAGGGTGCTGTGAAGAGCCCTCGCCCCGAGCATACAGCTACAGTGCAGTGGGGAGGTGTGGTTCCCAGCCTGGGGACACAGACATGTGCTAGCTCTGCTCTAGCTACTGCCTACAAATAGCAGTGGGGCCCAAGCAGCACAAACGAACCCTGCCCGACCCCCTGGGTGACCAGTTCATGCTGCTGGATTCAGCATGCTAACTTGAGGAGAGTTAGAGCACGAATGTCCACCAGTGCTGGGAATTACGCCTCCCAGCTGCAGTGTACACATACCCGGAGGGAATGAGGAAAGAAACTGGAGATAAAAGGCAAGCCCTTGAGTCAAAATAAGCAACTTGAAAAAACCAAACGAGGCCTGGCCTGAGGAGCAGGCTCCAGACTATGTTCTGACCGCCCTTCGGAATCCCAACCTGTGCAGCAGCAGCTTCTCAAAATGCAACTGCTTGCGGTCGAGCTCCAGTTCGGGACGCACCCCTTGGCAGCAGATTCTGAAGACCACTGGCTCTGGATTCTCTTTAATGCAGCAGACGATGCTGTCATCAAATATGCCAGGTGCGGTGGGGTACGCCCATATGCTCAGCTCCTGGCACGGCACCCCAGAGAAGGAGAGAGAGAACAGGGCATCATTCAGAGGGGAAAACGGCTCCCAAATCTCGCGAGACTGCGATACCTGTTTGTCTCCTACCTGCTTCTCATTGGGTTTCAGCATCATGGTGGGAGGATCCAAGAGGTATGTATTTGCCTTGATGTCATGCTGGAAGCAGAAAAACACTTCCGCTTCCAAAGGGGATGCGTTGAGGATGGTTATCTTCTCGGAGTTGTTGGGGTATCGGAGGGCCTTGTATCTGCAAATGAAACGCACTATAGAAGAGACAGCGGGCCCGAGAAAGTGCTGCACCTTCGCCCTTTTTATGCCACAGATACAGCACCTCCTTTCATGCATCTGTACACGCACCATATCCTGTTTTAAAAACAGCCTTATAAAATAGCCCCATCGTAATCATCATTGGTATAAGAAACATCATAGAATGGAGGGTTACTTCCTTGTAACCGAGTCCTGCGAGTGACCCCTGCAGTGTCACGCTAGTGGGATCAACTGACTCTATAGAGGCCACTCGCAGGAGAAGTGCCAAAAATCAATCTGGCTTGTGGCTTTTTTTGTTTTTGTTTTGCTTCTTTATGAGGAATAAATAAGGTCTGATAGGCTTTTAAAAATTGTTTAAAACTAGTTCACTTTTTCTGCTTGGTTTTCACCTGAGAAATACCAGGAGATTTCTTGTGTTCCCTGTTTTGCTGGATGTTTCAGGTGTGTGTTTGCACCTTAACTGAAAGGGGTGGGAGAGGAAATGCTGGATCCTAGAGAAAGGCATCCTGTTCTCCAAAGTATGAAATAGGCTTTGGTGTTAAATGGTTAAGAAACAAAAGAAAAGCACAGCATGTTAAAATAATCACACTACAAATCCCCTTTGGCTCTCACTTGCTTAGATATCAATTGCATGGGACAACAAACCACCACTACTTCTCCAGTCAGCCATAGAGTTCCCAAGCAGAAAAGAACTGACTTTTTAATGTTAAAAACAACAACAAGACAGCATTAATCACCCTCCCCGCCCCGTAACAGCACCAACTAAAAACCTCGGTCCAGGCTCTCAGCTGAGGATGCACAGCGCTGGCAAAAGCAGCCAAGTGGGCATGTGCTCTGCTGCCGTAACAACGTCGGCAGCAAAAGTAAAACTTTCTAGCATAGCTAGAACCTCCAAAACAAACTACCACCACCACCAAGGAAGGGCAGGAAGCCAATGTTTATTCCTCGGCAGGTCACCTTTCAAAAAAAAGCCTCCAACACTGTGGGCCAAATCTGACATGCTGACTAATCACATTGTTCATGACCAATAATGTGTGTCTATTACAACACACCCAGTTCTTGGTATCAGTAGATCTCAAAGTGCTTTACCAAGGGAGTCAGTGTATCCCCATTACACGGATGTAGAACCCCAGGCCCAGAGAGGGGACGTGATTTGCCCACAGTCACTCAGCAAAGCAGCATCAGAGCCGGGAAAAGAACCCCGGTCTCCTGAGTGCCAGCCCCGTGTGCTATCCACTAGGTCACACTACCTCCCTGTGCTCTCACTAGAGCTGCTTTGCCTGAGTAAGGGTTTGGCCCACAGACAGGAATCTCTCATTATCAAAACATGTACATGCCTTGCTGAGTAATCATGGGAGCTCATGAATGTCCTCCCTCTTCTTTCCCCCACTCCTCTCTTTGTCTCTGTCTGTGACTCTTGCCAGTCCCCACCTGCATTTAGATTGCAAACCCTTGGGGGCAGGGGCAGCATCTCCGCTAGTTAACATGCATTGCCTAGCACTCTTTGGGCCATTCAGAATACTAAGGCGTCATTCATAACATGCAGCAGTGCTAGGAGACTAGACTCTTGCTCCTTTTGTTGGTACCTGTCTCTCGACTTTCCACAGAGCAAGGGGCCGAAGTGGAACACCCCTGAGCTCATCACGTACTGTTTGAAGATGATGTCGTCAGGCTTCGCACTCTTCCTCCGGTGGGGAAATACCACCCTATAGGAGAGAAGCAGACTAGTGTGAGGAGCTGCAGGAGCTAACAAGCCTGTAGCTAGAGATAGCCAGATAAATTTCGGTGAAACGTTCTCTCGTCTTAATCTGCCGATGCAATGACATCAAAACGTTGTGTGGTTTCCTGCCAGCTTACCCACCCAACTCCTCAGCAGCCCTGGCTTCCACATGGCCTGCCCTAGAGCTGAGTCTTCATTCTTTGTCACCAACAATTTGGAGACGTTTGGTTTTCAGTTCAAATCAGAACAAAATCAAACTTCAAGCTATCAAAAATCCTCCACAAAACAGACTTCCCAGGTCACCTGTAACCCTTAGCGCCCTCAGGAAGAGCAGAATCAAGCCCAGCATCCTGTGCTCAGGCATAGAGGATGATATTAAACCTTCTATCCTCCCTCCCTGCCCTACCAGCATAAGGCCAAGCCTCTTTCCTGCTCCAGTTCTATCCCGCATCTCGCTGAGAAGAGATACCACACTCCTCCCACGCAACAAGTATTGTTACAAACTGACATTGCCTGGAGGCTCGTGCTGAATGTACTCAAGGCCAGAAAGCAGACTCTTTCCTGTGCAAACGTGACCACAAATCCACCACTTGTCCCATGCAAGGTTCATCCATTCCTATATACAGTAAAACTCTCCTGACTTTGCGTTTCTGTTCCCTGCCCCTGTGCCCTAAGTACTCAGCTGGTGATTGGGATTCATCAGAAGTGATGTAGAAAGAGTGGTGCAGGTTGGATTCCCTTGAACTTCATCTAAGCAGGAGACCAGTTACAATATGGGTGTGCCCTGAAGCTGGGAGAACATGGTTAAAAGAGGAGTGTAGGAGGCAGCTAGAGAAGAAGGCTGGTTAGGACAGTGGTTACACTGACTAGGGCCTCAGAGACCTGGGTTCAACGCTAGACTCTGCCCTTGACTTCCATATGTAAAACGGGGAAATAGCAGTGCCCTGCTGCACACGAATGTTGTGAGGATAGATCCATCAAAGAATGTGAGGTGCCCAGATACTGGGAGGGTCACATAAGTAGCTACTTGTTTTCCCCAGACCATATTTAAAGCCCAGACAGCTCAAGGCTTCAGCCCTGTAATGTGGATGTGTTTGGGTCTCACCTACCCTTATTGTAACCAGCTCCCCCCGACTCAGTTACTCTCAGACTCCACGACTTACACCGCCCACCGACAGGCCAGGGAGATCAACACCGAGGAGCTGGAACGCGGTGTAAATTAAAGCTGGGGTGTCCCACTTGAACTGGCCTAGTCTCTTCTCCTCCAATTTTGTGCTTTACTTCCTACTCTCCTGCCCTCTGGCCCCTTGACATGTGAGTTACAACAACGAAGAGGACGTCTCTGCTGCAGGCAGGGTGTGACATACGTGAGCGAACCAGCTCAGGTACTGGTGGCAGTGATGCTGGTCACCTGAGTGATCACCCAGGGCCCTGGGTGAGCTGCCACAGCTTCCCCACTGTCAGAGTCTAGAGGCTGGAAGGTGGTGTCAGATTCAGCAGCTCAGGCTCCCTCTAGCCCTCAGAAGAGCAGCCCAGCAGCTTTACCAGGCACACAGGTACTGACCTGGGGTCCTGGCTGATGGTAGGGTAAGTGCAGGTGCCTCTGCAGTAAAGCTGGTACTGCCGGCGCGTGCCCAGGATCTCGAAGTTCAGGGTCTGATCAAACTGCCCTGCCACGGTGGAGGAGAAGTGTATCTTCATGACAACCTCTCCGTTAGCAGGCACCGTCCAACGGAAGCTGCTCAGCCTGGCGGTGAGAGAGAGAACACCCGACAGGACGAGACTGAGAAAGCTGGGGTAACTTGTAGAACATAAAATCCCAGGAACCCTGCCAGACTGGCTTCTGGGTCAGGACCTGGCACGCAACAAGAATGTGGACACTCCAGTGTCTCGCCTGTTAGAGCAGAACATGGCACCGTATGTGTGACTGCGGTACTGGATTCCTACCATGTGCTCTACATGCACAGCCCCTGAAGCCTAGCCAGAGCCTGCTGCTAGTGCAGAGTGTGGCTGCTCCCTTGCTCAGTGCCAGTAGCGCTATTATACTAGTGGTTCTCTGACAATGGCTTCCTCTTTGCTTCCGAGAGAAAGTCAAGGGGTTCACTTTGAATCCTGATCCCTGTGAAGCTTGGATGAGAGGCCAACTCTTCCCATGACCCACTGGAGGCCTGGCATTGGGACCTTAGCAATTTGCTCTCACAGCCAGTCTGACAGTCTGCGTTGGCTGATCTACAGGGTGTGCCACAAGGTCCATCTTCTCTGAGGCACTGCCCGGACGGGCGGGAACTGGGCAGGTTGGCAGGAGGTGAAGAACAGTTGTTTTCAGTATCTTGGTTTATTTCAGAAGAGCCAAGGGAGAAGAATGTGTTAACCCAGGACGTCTGATTAACCTCCCCAATCCATGCAGGAAGAATGCCCCTGCACTGGAGCAGAGTGTGGTGCTGGCCCTTTGTCCCCAGGAAGGGGAATGCCCAGTGAACAGGAGATTCCATCGGAACAGCAGTGCCACTGTGAGTGATCTGCTCCGATGAGGCGCTGAGAGGAGGCACTGTCTGTGCTGAGTATAGGGAGTGGGCCTGCTTGCTTGTACACATGGGCCAGCCTTGTCACCGGCATGGGAGTGAAGAGATTATACTCTTTCTGCCTCTGTCACAGCTAAGGCGGGAGCCACAGACTGATCCAGCATGAGAATGAGACATACACAGAGTAGGGCTGCCAACTTTCTACTCACACAAAACCGAACACCCTCACCCTGCCCCCGCTCACTCCATCCGCCCCTCCCTCTGCCCACCCTCACTCACTCGCTCATTTTCACCAGGCTGGCTCAGGGGTTGGGGTTCGGAAGGGGGTGAAAGCTCCGGCTGGGGGTGCTGATTCCAGGGTGAGGCCAGAAATGAGGGGTTCAGGGGGCTCCGGGCTGGGACAGGGGGTTGGGGTGCAGGCGTGTGTGAGGGCTCTGGCTGGGGGTGCAGGCTCTGGAGTCAGGGGCGGCTCTACGTTTTTTGCCGCCCCAGAAATGAGGGGTTCGGAGGGTGGGAGGGGGATCAGGGCTGGGGCAGGGGGTTGGGGCGTGGGAGGGGGTCAGGGTGCAGGCTTCGGGCAGCGCTCACCTCAAGCAGCTCCTGGAAGCAGTGGCATGTCCCTGCTCCAGCTCCTACACGGAGGTGCGGCCAGGCAGCTCTGTTCACTGCCCCATCCGCAGGTTCCCAGCCCTTGGATGCTGCGGGGGCGGCGTTTGGGCCGGGGCAGCGTGTGGAGCCCCCTGGCTGCACCTACGTATAGGAGCCAGAGGGGGACATGCCGCTGCTTCCAGGAGCTGTGTGGAGCCAGGGCAGGCAGGGAGCCTGCCTTAGCCCCACTGCGCTGCCGACCGGACTTTCAATGGCCCGGTCAGCAGTGCTGACCGGAGCTGCCAGGGTCTCTTTTTGACTGGGCGTTCCGGTCAAAAACCAGATCCCTGGCTACCCTAAGAAAGAGCCCTAAGCACCTCCCTGCTACATGGAATCATCCACTGTCTCCTTTGAGCAGCACCCACTGCTGTTCAGTACGCCTCGGAGACATGTCCTGAGTGAGCAGAGTGGCCTGGTGGGACCCCTAAAAATCCCCAAGGCAGAAGGAACATCACCAGCCTCCAGTCTCTATGGCTCGTACTAATCAGGCTCCCTGCTAGAATGCATCAGGCTAAGCTGCTTGGTTACTCACCTGAGGATCTTTTCTTGGGATTGGTCCCCAATCAAGTTGCTTTGATCCAGCTCTGACAGTGGTGCCAGTGCTCCGGGGCCTGGCCCCTGAAGACCCTTCTTGCGGCCTGTGCTGCGCTTATCCTTCTGAGCCTCACGGCTGGGCTCTGCTTTGTCCTTCTTCAGTCTGCCTCTGGTTGGGGTGATCTGTTCTTCCTGTAACCCAGTGCGAGGGCAGGAAAAGACAGTCAGAAATAGCTCAGGAGACCCCAAAGGAGAGGCAGCAAAGTACTCTACCAAGGTGCAATAGTGCCTAGCCAAGAGCAACGGCGCTGAGACAAAAGAAAGGCCAAGAACGGAGGCTTGTGCCCACTCATGTTTAAGCAGCAGGAGTCCATGCTTAAGGTCACCGTGTGCCTTAGCCCTACGTCCCTGAGGTAAGGCCTCCAGCGTGTTCAACAGGACAGATAACAAGTAATGAGCATCCACCTGCACTGGCTTAATGGCTTCTGTCTGCGTAGGATTTAGATCCTTTGTTGTTGTTGTTTTTTATTTCATCAAGGAAATCTCTCCTTGTGAAACGCCTGTACAATTCTAACCACAACAATGGGGTCTGTTAGTTTGCTGCTTTTCATGCTTTATAACAGTCTTTCAAAGGCTTTTCTTCCCCTTCTTTGCTGACTGACATTGATTTTCCCCTGTGCTTTGAATTGAGCTGCACTGAAAATGGGTCTTTATTTAAAGGAAAATTGGAAAGAGGGTGTTTTTTTAAAATCAGCTAAGGCCCAAGTTCAGGTTCACAAGCCAGCACGAACCCTCAAAGCAAACAAAGGAGCTGTGGTTCTTTAGAAGTTAGCAATGTCAGGGTCAGTGGGTGCTAACATGTTCACAAACATGCACATCCAACTGTGCATCTAATCTGCATGCACAATGACCATGACTCTGCCAGGGATCAGGAAAACTGCCGGTGTGACGGACCGGTTGGAAGTGCCACGGGCCAGCTGTGTGTGAAGTCATGGTAACAGTGTGTGCAAATCAGGTGCACAAGCACTCACACCTTTCAGAAAATGTAGGCGTTAATGTTTACTATTCTTTATTACCACAACACACAGGACCCCAGTCAGGGAGCAGGACCCCATTGTGCAGCGCACTATACAAACACAGAGACTGATGTCAGTCCAAATCTTCCTAGACACAGGACATGTCATTTCTCTGCTGCTAATTTCATTTTATGGTCAGGTCTTGCGGCTCACCAGCCTGATCATTCTCATCACCACGGGACCTTCTGCAAAGCAACATTTCCACTTAGCCCTGTACCTTCACCACAGGGACAGCGACAGAAGCATCTGCACTGCCCTCTGCATCCTTCTTTTCCTCATCCATATTTGTATCTTCGGGCACAACGAAGGTGAAGTGCTTGAGGGCTTCTCCTGCCACATGAGCTATCCGCTTCTCTGGGTAGGGAATCACGGAGAAAAAGGTGGTCGGAGGGATGGGTGGCCCTGAGGGACCGAGCCCCAAGCCGTCCAGGATCTAAGCCATGAGAGAAAGCCTTTCATTAATGCCTCATTCATCATTAATAAGGCTGCGAGTCTTTCGCAGAGGTCACGGAAGTCATGGATTCCGTGACTTTCTGGGACCTCTGTGATTTCTGCACTGGCCCATGCAGCTGATCCCAGGGCCGCCTCAGCTGCTCAGGTGGCCCCAGGCAGCTGGTCCCGGGTGCTGCCCTGGAGCAGCGGTTCAGGAGTAGCAGCGGTGCCCCGGGCCGCCCCCGCTCCAGCAGCAGCAGCGACGGGGCCCCGAGCTGCCCCGCATCCCGGAGCAGCAGCAGCGGGGCCCCAGGCCACCCCCCGCCCTGAGCAGCAGTGGTGGCATGCCAGAGGTCCCCCCGCCCCCTCAGAGCAGCAGCCACGGAGCCCCTTCCAGAATACCTAAGGTTTAGTCAGGCCTATTAATATAGTACAAGTCATGGACAGATCAGGGGCCAGGACTTTTTGTTTATTGTCCGTGAGCTGTCCATGACTTTTATTAAAAATACCCGTGACTAAATCATAGCCTTAATCATTAACCTCCATGTCTTTCCTCTACAGAGAGAAATGGAGTGTTAAACTGCCACCCAGGAGACAGGTGTGATAGTGGGTCGCTGCATAAGTGTAGTGGAAAAGCCCCAGAGCATGGCCAGCCTGTGGAAATCCTTCCTGCATGACTCTGGGAAGAAATCTTTCGCCTCGTCAGTTACCTGGGAAGTTACAGATGTCAGCACTGTGGCCCCATGGCCCGCCTGGCTCTTGTGCCATTTGCCGCCAACTCAGTGGTGCTGATAACTCCATTAGAAGGGAGGAGCCAGGAGGGCAGGACCAGAGGAGAGGAGAGGAGAGAAAGCAGAGACACACAAAGGAAAGAGGATGGCAGGAGAATGGAAAAGGAGGAATAGGAAGAGGAGGAAAAGAAAATGGAAGTGGAAGAACAAAGACGGCGATAATACTGGATAACCCCACTTAGCACTTATTCAGTCTGAGGTGCTTCTCAGACATGCAGCGCTGAACCTTTATTAACAGTGGGAATCATCACCCCCAGTTTACAGGGAGGGAACCCAAGGCAGAAAGAGGCTGTGATTTGCCCAATCCTGCGAGGTGCTGAGCTCCCTCAACTCCCGCCACCTCTCAGCAGGTGCTCAGAACCTTGCAAAACTGAGCCCCCAGCTGCAGAGCCTGGAGCTAATGTATGTAACAAACAGCCATGCATTAGAGCTTGGCCACTGCAACCCTAGGCTGAGCGAGTGCTCCAGAGCCCAGTAACACGTGCTCTTGCTCACCATGTGAGACAGTGGTTTTACCTGCTCTACTTCCGGCAGCTTGCCACTCTCCAAGATCCTCTTCCCACTGGTGTCCTCTGAGTTCAGTACATGGAAGTCCAAGCATGGCACCCCCACGTCTTTCTTTCCATCCTGGTCTTTGTCTGCTCCTTCTGCCCCTTCTCCCTCCAGCCCAGACACCTTAGAGTCCGCCAGTGCCTTTAGCTTTTCCAGGCGCTCCTTCTCAGCTCTCTCCTTTTCCAGCCGCTCTCTCTCGGCTCTCTCCTTCTCCAGTCTTTCCTGACGCTCCCTTTCCCTATCCTTCCGGCCCTTGCGGCCAGACGGAGCCTGACGCTGATCTTCTGCTTCATGCTGGGTCTCCTCAAGGCCTGGGGGCGGCAGCTGGACACCCTGCACCCGGTCCCAGAGTGACAAAATCTGGACAATTTCCCTCTGTGCGGCCTCATAGACTTTAAACCTCTGTGTCAAGTTCTTCTCACTGTCACTTACCACCTCCTTTTCCGTTTCCTCCTGCTCCGGGATCGGGGGTGGCATCAGCCCAAGTGGCAGGACGTCTGGCAGAATGAGTTTGCTCCGCTTTTTCTTGTCCTCCTTGTCACATGCCACAGAATCTGGACGCTCTCTCACAGACACTTTCCTCTCCACCCCTTCGTTCAGCTTGAGGTCTGACCTATTGACAGTGGCGATACTGGCACCCTATGAGGTCAGGATTATGGAAAAGGAAGGGAACATTTGTAAGTACTAACTCATAGCTTGTAAGATTATATTTGTATTCCCGTAGTGCCAGGGCCGGCTCTGGCTTTTTTGCCACCCCAGGCAAAAAAGCCTCCGGCCCCCCCCCCCCGGGGGGGGGGGGAAGGAGGGTGGCCGGAGCCCCGGGGGGAGGGCGGCGAGCCCCAGCGGGGGCTCCCCTCTCCCCCCCGGGCGGCTGGGGGGAGGGCGCTGGGGGGGAGGGCGGCCAGAGCGCCGGGGGGAGGGCAGCAAGCCCGGCCGTGGCCCCGCTCTCCCCAGCGGCCGGAGCGCCGCGCTGCCCCCCTCCAGGTGCCGCCCCAAGCACAAGCTTGGTGGGCTGGTGCCTGGAGCCGGCCCTGCGTAGTGCCTAGAAGCCATGGGCATGGACCAGGACTTCATTGTGCTAGGCACTGCACAGACACAGAACAAAGAGATGGGCCCTGTCCCGAAGAGATTCCAATCTAGCTGATTTGATACAGAACCTTCCCACAACAAGTGTGCAAGGGCTATCACATCCCCTGCACGATGATCTCCTCAGCGTCTCTTAATGGGAAGGCTACTGCGTTGACCTGTATCTGAGTTCGAGATGCCAGCAATGAGGGTAGTGGTTTGGACAAGCCCAGGTTTCAGACAAAATTACTCTCTCCTGCAGGAGACTTCAATGAAGTCAATGGGACGAGTGTGTGCCCTGCACCTCTGACAATCGGGCTCTAGTGAATGTACAGACCTGGCAGCATACCCTGAATGTAAAGACCATGGCGGGAAGCTGAGGGCTGTCCAGTGCTTCCAGCCCAAAGCTGTATGAATCTATGGCTTGCCACGAAGAGCAGATCAGATGTCACCATGCAAAATGAGAAGAAAGGTCAACTCCAACACACCAGGGACTAAAAGCACATGCACTTTCTAGGTCAAAACCAACCAGTGCAATTGAACCTGGAAATGAACTAGAAGTCATTGTGGTCTATAGAGACCAGGTGTCCTATGCTTCAACGGGGAAAAGCACTGAGCGAGCACGTGCCGTGCATGAGCTGAAGTTTCCCAACAGCCTTCAAGAACAGACCCATGTAATATATTCATCACTAGCTACTGATTCCCTGGCCTAGCAAATTACATATGATTGAACCTCCAGCTGCTATGGTGCTGGCTTGTGTCCCATGACAGGGTCAGGGCAGAGGCAATCTTAAACACCTTTATTAGCAGACCCACATACCTGTTTGCCTCCCAGCTGGCTTTTCTTTCCCAAGGCCTCATCTTTGTCTTTTCCAGACTCTCTCTTCCACCGCTTGGTCTTCTTCCTCATCTCTTCTTCCTCTCGCAAGCGCTCCAATTCCTGCTGGTGCTTCTTTTCCTCGAGCTCTCGAGCCAACTTCTCCAGCTCCCTTCAGCAAAGCAGACAGAAAACTCACTCAGCATAAACTCTCAGCTCTGCTGCAGCCCTGGGAAATCTCTGCTCTTAGAACACCAGTCTGAGCTTGAGGTCTTGCTCCATAGTTCTCAGGCCAAAAGGGACCATCCGATCATCTAGTCTCATCTCCTGTACTCTGCAGAGCTTCCAGGTCAATAATGCAGCCCTTCACTTGGAAGTCCACACAATATATAACTGAGCTCACGTCAATTTAAAAACAAACACATTGATTTTTCTTCTTCTTTTTGGGGAAACAAAATTTGGCCTCAACTGAGGAAAGCACTCAAGTATGTACCTAACTTTAAGCATGACCGTAAGTCCCACTGACTTAAATGGGACTTAAATACATGCTTAAGGTTAAGCATATGCATAAGCGCCCCTACTGAATAAGGATGATTATCTGAATCAGAACCTAATTCTCTATCTCACACCCCTTTGGCTACAGTTAATATTTATGGCCAGTGCCACTACGCATATTAAGTCAATGAGAGGGGTACTATGCAAATAGCATTGTAAGGACTTATCTACTGTGAAAATAACAGCGAAACTGAGCCAATATAGTTCAAATCTGATTTTCAAGGAATAGGAGGAGCTTTCTGTGTCTTTAGAAGAGTTACAGTTGAATTTTCAGTGTTGTCCTTAATTTAGGGTTGTTAAAGTACAATAATATGTAGTTTTATGCAGCACTTCTCAAAGTGCTTTACACAGGAATGTCAGTATCATTATCACTATTTTACAGATGGGGAAACTGAGGCACAGAGAGGGGAAGTCACTTGCCAAGGTCACCCAGCAGCAGAGCCAAGACTAGAACTCAGGTCTCCCAAGTCCCAATCCAGCACACTATCCTCTGGCCACCAACCTACACAATGGATAAAAGCAGGGGAGTCATTTGGTCCTTATGAGTCTCCGACTATGTGAGAGCAGAGGCTCCGTCACCTCCTGTGAGCTACTCCTCCCACTTCCTGAACCACTGAGGAGAAACAGAACTTCCTGCTGCTGCTTCTGAGCTACTCTTCCCGCCATCCCACTCACCCCTGCTCAGAACCACGACTCCTGCTTGATAAAACCAGACAAACCCACTGAAAAGTGGGTAGTGCCAGTGCACAGTGCAGGAAAAGAAACAACAGGCAAGCCCAGAAGTGTCCCAGGTGGAGGGTGGCGCAACACTCCCAGGCAGCTGTCCAGGGACAGTTCACACACCTCTTTTTCCGCTCCCGTAGAGCTTGGAGCAGTTCATTATCAAACTGAATTTTCTGCTCCTCAGTGAGAGCGTCGTACTCTTCCTCATCCATCTCCTGGAGACGAGCCTTTTCCCTCGCAATGGCGTCTTTCTGTTCCTGTTCTGTCATGCAGCCAAACAGAGAAATGCACCGGCTGAAATCATAGCTCAGGGCTCAGGACAGGCCCTCCCGCTGGTGCCAGCTGGTGTGTGTCCCTGCTCCGATTAGCAGGCACTGAGTTAGGTGCTGGAGGCAGGGGGTCTCGTACGTCTACACTGAAGTGTAAGCCCAGAGCTTGAACTCAGGCTTTACCCTCTTCCGTCCACACACAAATCATGCTAAACCAGGGCTCAGACCCAGACTCCCAGGACCCCATGGGGGTCGAGGGTCCGAGCCTGAGTCAAGCTGGGACCCAGGGTTCAAGCCCTCTTGCTTCGCAGCACAGATGCAGCCCCACTGGACTCGTGCTTTGGGAATCCGCCAATAGTATCCCACAATCCCATGGGCCGACTCTCTGTGACCTCTGGACTGTCAAGTTTCCCCACACTGCACCACAAGCAAAGGGCCCGAGTGGCCACGTTTTGGAGAGCGCTAGGAAGTCTGGGAGATGGGGGCTGGACTGGAGCCCGCATAATGCAGTGTAGGGGCCCAGGGTTCAACAATTCCTACCCTGGGGTTACACATGGGTGTAGCTGCTCAAGCTCTAGGTTAACACCCCCTGGGTCTGCTGACTCGAATTCTGCCAGCCCTGGGCTTGCACTCAGTGTAGACAGATCCTGTGAGTCCTACAATGCTGGCCCCACTGTATTTTGTGCATTGTGAAGCTGGATCCCGGGGCAGCTTTGGCTCTAAAACTACAGGTGCTATGGGAGGGAGGGCAGCAGGTTCTACCCATATAACTATGTGAATGGGCTGTCCCAGGAGACCCAGCCTCAGCAGGAACCCAAAGAATCCATAGGAGAGTCAGACCTACTTGATGATCCTGATGCAAGCTGCATAGCTACCCCCAAAACAGAGCCAGAGCTCAGATTAATCCCAGGCACCTGGACTGTGCCGATCTCCTCCATGAGAATTTCTCTTCCCCATTCCAACTGCCAGTGTCCTCAGCACACTAGGGGGCTGTGAGTATACGCCCCTAAAAACAGCTCCCGTTAGGCTTAGCAGCCCTTTGACTCCTGGAAGCCAGTCCACCTACACCCTGTTTCCCTGCCAGTCTCTCAGCCAGGCCTGTGCTGCTCCCCATTGGCTGCACTGCTGGTAGTGACCGCCCCGCATCTGCCCCGAGCTGCCAGGACAGCCTTCCACCGGTGAAGCTAGATTTTTTCTTTCAAACAAAGCTGTATCACTTCTGTGTCTCTGCCCAAGGATAAAGCACCCTTTCGAGTGCTATTTAAAATCATGTGAATACAGGTGTGAAAAGCTGCAGTAACTTGTGTGAAATGACCAAAAAGGGGGGTCCTGGTTGTTAGCTTGTATTGCTGCCTAGATATGGTGATAGGCACTCTAGAAATTAGGACTGGTCGAAAAATTTCTGTTGAAACTGTTCTTCAGTGGAAAACTGGGTTTAGGACTAACCAAAACATTCTGAGAAAAGTGTCTGCTTTCTGCAGGAAATTTCAATTTTGTCAAAAACCCAAATGCCCAAACATGGAACTATTTCAGTTTGTATATTCTGCCACAGTGCTTCATGGGAGTTGTAGCTTGGTTACCTTGTGTCCCCATTTGCCTTTAAGGGACAGGATTCTGAACTGGACTGCATCTCCCATTACGCACCACATCCAGGGATACCCGTGATGCACTGCCTCCCGTCTCCAAAAGGAGAGATTGTGATGCATCATGGGAGATGAAGTCTGACAGGGACCCTGGCCTATAAACGAGAATAGGAGCACGAGGTACCTGAGCTACAACTCCCATGAGGCTCCATGGTAACACTTCCAAATTGAAATATTTTGGTATCTGAATTTTCACCCCGCAAAAATCAAAATTTTCTGTTGAAAATGCAGATGAAAATTTTTTTTGTTTTGGTGAAAATTTTCTGAGGTGGAAAAATCCCCCCGGTTTTCTGACAGCCAGTATTAGAAATGCCTAGACAGACACACAGACATGTAGAGGTGTGAGTGTCAGAGGGTTCACTGAAGAATCCTTCTCACCTTCCTGCTCTTTCTTGGCTTTCTCCCTAGCCTTCATGGCAGCATAATCCTGGAACAGGTTCACCATGTAAATGTAACGCCGGTTGTTGATTGCTTTGAGCAGGCAAAGGAGAGCAGAAGGCATATTGCGGGCAAAGAGTGTTTCTAGTCCATCAAACACCACGCCCTGATAGCAGTCACTCAGCTGTGAATGTGGAACACAAAGGGCATAAATCCATCCTAATGAGTACACAGTATTCTCATCAGCAAATAAAACTGTTCTGATGTAAAAACATATTAGCAAGCACTATCCCCAAATATCTGAAATAGTCACAGATTCCAAGGCCTGAAGGGACCACTCTGATCACCAAGCTCACCCACTGACTCCGCCACCAAGTTCAACATTTCTGGTTGAGCTAGAGCAGATCAACAGCACATCTCCACCTGTTTTGATTTTCTCTGCATATTTCTCTCTCTGTGCCCCTTACTGCCCTGGCCTGTCTCTCCATTGCCTTAACCTATCATTTAAATCAAACCTTGACAACACCACATTCCCCATCCCTTCGCACAAACATCCTCACCCGACACACCAAGCTTCATGACCAGCGTTTCCTTCTGCCCAGGGGAGCACCTGCCATACCTGCATCCTCTCGGAAAGGATCTCCACCAGTAGCTCCTCGGGAAGCATGCAGCTCATCAGGCCTGATTCTCCTGCCATGCTGGCACTGACGCTGAGCCGTCGCTGGATAGGAGCACTGGGAATAGGGCTGGGAGGAACCTGCAGCATTCACCACCCCAAGGGAAAACATGCTTCAGAAAAACCCGTACAATTCCTCTGGAGACTAAACTCATTTCTTCTGCCCATCACATCAGCCCCTTCACCCCACCAGCTCAGACTGCTGTCACATGCTAATGGTGCAAAGTAGCCCAGAAGTCATAGGACTGGAAGGCTCTTCAGGAGGTCATCAAGCTCAGCCCTCTGAGCGGAGGCAGGACCAAGGAAAACTTAGACCAGCCCTGGCAGGTGTTTGTCCAGCCTGGGGATTGATAACTACACTTGGAGTACGGCCTTCCAATTGTTGAGCACCCACTTCCCTCCAGGCTTAGTGTTGTGAGTTCTTGAGTTGTGAGGCTGCTGCTCAGTCCATGGCCATGGTAAGGGGGCTCAGGAAGGGAGGAATTTTCTTCCCGTGAGTAGGCAAGGGCTAGGGACAATCGCAGTCCTGCAGTCTGGGGGAGTGTAGGGACTTCTCCCTCCGTAAGCTCTCTCAGGATCCAGACCATGCATTTTTTTAATGTCTCAACCTACATATTTATTAAAAAAAATGCAGGTACTACTGCCTGTGTAGGGTGTCTGTGCCCGGGGTACTGGACTGGGACACTGGAGACCTGGGCCTAGTCCTCATTCTCCCACTGATTTGCCGTATCACCTAGGGCAAGACATGAAGAGACACGTTTTCAATAGGGCCCTCTCATTTTGGGTGCTTTGGTTTATGGGTGCCCAACTGTCAGAGAGTGGCTGGCCCTCCAAAGGGGTCAGGCGCCCAGCTCCACAAGGGGGAATGACTGATGCACCTCAGGTTAACCTGGGTGCACTTAACTCGCTGAGTAATGGGGAAAATGTCTGCATGGCAAGCAGCAGCCCGTGGCAGCGACTCTCAGAGCCCAGGTCTACAGACTTAGCTCCATGTCCCTCAGACCTGAATTGGAGAGCTACGCAGCACGCACTCACCCACTGACTTCAGCTGGCATGGGGGTGCTCAGACCCCAGGTGTCCAGAGCTGAGCACTCAAAAATGGTGGCAACCAAAATTAGAGGCCACACATGAAAATTTGGACCTTCAAACTTCTCTGAGCCTCAGTTACTCTTGCTATAAAAGCTGAGCATGACAACGCTGACACCTCACTGCACTAACACAGAGAACACTCTGAGCCAGCTCTGCACCAACACGCAGAATAAAAACTCTTCAGGACGTGTGCGCACATTGCTGGTGCTTAACAAACAACTAACCCCCATCAAACCCCTGGAGAGGCGCCTCAGCCCTCACTCCCAGCGCAAGAGTCCTCCCAGCCCCAGGTCTCGCGAGTAGCTAACTTTGCCTAATTCAATAGTGCTTTTATCACCTGGACTAAGCCCCACTAGAGACTAGAACAAGACCACCCGGCTGATTTGTACTTGTGAGTACACAGGTCGAAACCCTAAGTCAGCAGAGATGAAAGCCCAGGGCAGGAACCCACTGGGCCAGTGCAGCTCCAGTGCAGGAGTCATAGTTTCTCACACCCTCTTAGAAGAGCGATGGACTAATCCCATCTGTTTACTGATGTGAATTCGCTTTCACCTGTGATCCGGTTTGATCCGATTGGTGCTGCTGCTTCTGTGCCTGCGAGGCATGGCCTTCTGACTTCCCCCTGCCTGTTCCTGTGCTGCCCCTGTAGCCCTTGGAGGTGATGGACTGTGGCCCGGTTTTGGTCTCGGAGCTCGGCTGGCTACCCTCCGTGGTATGCTTGGCCAAAGCCTCAACGCTCAGTCTTGTGCTCAGAGCTGTCTGCCCTGCAGAGCCCTCGGAAGACTGACCTGCTAGGATGAAAGAGGAGTTCAGCCTCAGGGGGATCCAATCCGCAGAAGACTGACTACAGCAGTTAGCGTTCCTCAAACTGCCAGGGATGAACACCCTTCTTAATCCAAGTCACTGGAGCTGAACCTGCTGGCATCCTGCCTTTGCCTGCCAGTGGAGCTGACCAGACACAGGGGGGAGCATGCCGCACTCTCCCAAGGGACGCAGCACAGCACGTACCTTCCCCAGGAGCTGGAGCTCCAGAATGGATTAGGCCATTCAGGCACAAGCTGGCCATTAGCACCAGGGGTCATATCTGATTGCACAGAACACACATTCCTGCCCACGTTTCTGTCACTGTCAAGGGAAAGTGCAAAAGAAGATACGTGGGTTCTACGGCCAGAGACTTTTAGTGCTCAAATGCTATGGTGACAGGCAGTTATAAAAGCTGCGTAGAGAGAGAAATACCGACGTCAAGCAAATAAATGAATGATCCTCTGTCAGACTGTCATTGACTCCAGCGAGACCAGGACTCAATTGCAAGTGGCTCTGTCATTCATTGTTTGTCCAGGGAGACGGACAGCAGAACAGAAAAATCTAAATCAATACCCTTTCCCCCACTGCACCATGAGGAGCAGAACTCAGGGTAGAGGGATTAACATGACTATTTCTTAGAACTAAACCACTCATCCGTCTGCCCCAAGAAGCAAGGAACAGAGGCCAGTGCTCCACCAAGTGGACAGGAGCTGTGCCCCAAAGCAAAGCCCATGACAAACGGGTTAGCACACATACAGGCCTTTCACAGCAGCTGGCGCTGCTTATGCTGTATCTGTTCCAAGGCTTTGTTCTCCAGGGCTGTCAATGCAGCACCTCTTGCCTGCACCACGTTTGGGCACAAAAACAGTCATGAAAATCATTCCTATTAACCCTCTCTAGCCTGGGGGTCTCCTTGTCCCTCTGCTTGGGATTTTAGTCCTCAAAGCAGGACCCCGTGAGGGTGAGCAACACCCTCAGGCTGCCAGCTCCAAGCTTGCTAGTGTACGCAGCTCGCCAGGTCCCAGGGGAAGGGCACGGGACCTAGGAGCAGGAGTCTAACTGAGAGAATTTGCAGGAGCAACTTCTTTGCACAAAACCTTCAAAGATGTGAAATGAATCCATTTGTATTTTAATGTAACTCGCTGTATAACTGACCTGGGGGATTGTGTTTCACAGACCCCATGCTCATTACATCACTATCTTTTCAAGCCAATCATTTTGGATCTTAATGGGCACTGCAGGGGACTTCAACTTCAGCAACAAGATATCAGGAAAAGCATTTCTGGATGATCATAGCATGAAGCCTGGGCAGAGTGGCTGTAACCACCCATGAATTAGGGCAATCTCTTAGAAAAGCACCAGAGTGTTTTGCCTCTATTATGAAACGGAATACATCCAGAGCATCACAATGGAATGAAATGCCTAGGTACTAACACCAGAGAAAGAGAGATTTTTAACAGGCAAGAGACATTATAGACTGCAAGTTGGACTTCGCATTACAGGGGATTCGGCACCTCTGAACCCTTATATTCTTCTTGATTCCAAGGCTAGAGATCCGTTATTATCCAGCACTGCTATTCAACTAGCGGTGGTGATCGAACTGCGAACTGAGAAGATCACTTTATGCTCCAGCTTCTACCATCTGTGGAGCTCCCCAGGGGATTTCATACCCAGACACATCAAAGCTCCCTCCACGCACCCCTGAGGTTACCAAGAGCCCCCGTGGGTTGCTGAAAAGTCTTCACGACAATGCACTAGAGGGAGAAAATGAAGGGAGGGGATGGCCACGCCATATGATCGAAATTGTGCTGGGGTCATGCCCAGCATTTCTGTGCAGCACGGCTGTCCAGCCTTTGTGCTGCTGAAGGTCTGAGCCCTTACCAGCTTCCTCTGACTCCCGCTGTGCCTGCTCAATGGCGGCCCTGATGCACAGCTCCCGTGCGCGAAGCCCCGCGGAACTGCTCCTGTCGGAGAGGGCTTCCAGCACCACAGCGTCGATGGATAGGCAGGCAGCACTGTAGTGTTTGGCCAAGGTGACAGCTGCAGTTGTCTTTCCTTTACAGAAACAAAAGTCTCTGATGACATTCATGGGTGGTGCATCTTTATCTAGACATGGTATGAGCAAGTGCTTTGAACTGGCCTGGTGTGCGGTTTGTAACCCCTGTGAATAGCAGAGTGATAGCCACTTTAAAAAGAATGGCCAGTGATGCCAATGACGAGATGGATATTATGGGTATGGGCATAAATCCAATCTATCTCACACTGGTTGTATGAAAGGGGATGAATTTGGCCCACTAACTTCAATGGAGTTACATCAGGGATGAGTTTGGCTCAGGGCATCAAACTAACACGTAGTTAAAGAGAGCGCAAATCCCACTGATTCCTCCATGTCAAATTCAGCAGGGATGAACAGCAGCATGTGTCACACATTGGAGCCAGGCTGGTAAGAAAAGCAGTGTTAGTGGTTAAGTGATATAGCTAGCACCGCTTTGGCACTGAACAGTGTGCAAATAAAACTGTTACTAACCTTTCCATAACTGTTGTTCTTCGAGATGTGTTGCACATGTCCATTCCGATTTGGGTGTGTGGGTGCCCGGAGCACAGCTATCGGAATTTTTTTCCCCTAGTGGTATCCGTCAGGTTGGCTCTGGTGCCCCCTGGTGGCCCATGCACCTCAGTTTCTTCTTACCAGCCACTCCGAGAACGGGGACAGTGGGTCAGTCTTGGAATGGACACGTGCAACACATCTCGAAGAACAACAGTTACAGAAAGGTTAGTAACCGTTTTTTCTTCTTCAGGTGCTTGCACATGTCCATTCAAATTGGGCTCGGAGTTCAAGGGCAAGCTGACTGTAGCATTGCTTGGCCAAGCTGCGCATCATCTCTGGCCTGTTGAGTAATGACATAGTGTGTAAAAAGAACAGGAGTACTTGTGGCACCTTAGAGACTGTTCTTTTTGCGGATACAGACTAACACGGCTGCTACTCTGAAGTGTGTAGAAAAAAGTATGTACCGAGGACCAGGTTGCTGCCCTACAGATATCCTGAATAAGGACTTGGGCCAGGAAAGCCGCCGCCGAGGCTTGGGACCTCGTAGAATGAGAAGTCAGGTTTGATGGACGGGGAACACCTGCAAGGTCGTAACATGCTTTGATACAGGACATTATCCACAACAAGATTCTTTGAGCCGAGATGGGGAGCCCCTTCATCCTTTTGACTATTGTATGAAGAGTTGCGGAGACTTACGGAACGGTTTGGCCCTTTCAATATAAAACGCCAGGGCTCGTCTAACGTCCAAGGAATGCAAGTGTTGTTCCTCCCCATATGCATGCAGTTTAGTGTAAAAAATTGTTAGAAAAATGGGTTGGTTGCAGTGAAACTGAGACACCACCTTGGGAAGGAAACTCAGGTGTGGGAGTAACTGCACCTTGTCCTTAAAGAAGATTGTACAAAGAGGCTCCGCTGTGAGGGCTCGGATCTCCGACACTCTCCTGGCCAAGGTGATTGCCACTAGAAACGCCACCTTCCAAGACAGGTGCAGCAGTGAACATGTTGTTAGTGGCTTGAAGGGCGGCCCCGTCAATTTCGAAAGGACAAGATTCAGATCCCATGCGGGGGATGGATCCCTTATCTGTGGGAATATTCTCTCTAGGCCTTTAAAGAAGCGAATTACCGGCTCATGTGAGAAGACTCACCTATTGTCTATTTTTGGGTGGAATGCCAAGACGGCTGCCAGGTGGACCTTGATTGAGGAGAGGGCGAGGCCCTGCTCCTTCAGAGATAAGAGGTAGTCCAAGATGAGCTGTAGTGAAGCCTCCAGAGGGGACACTCCATGTTGGGAAGACCAGAGGGAGAAATGCTTCCACTTAGTCCAGTAAGTTGCCCTCATGGAGGGTTTTTTGCTGCCCAGGAGGACTTTACGCACCTGCTTCAAACAAGCTCGCTCATCGGAGTTTATCCATGAAGATTCCAAGCTTTCAGATGCAAGACACTGACGTTCGGGTAGAACAGTTGCCCAGGGTCCTGGGAGATCAGGTCTGGGTGGAGTAGCAGGCTGACTGGTACCTCCATGGACAGCCGAACGAGTGTGGTGTACCAGTGCTGTCTGGGCCAAGCCAGGGCTATTAGAATAACTCGGGCCCAGTCCTGCTTGATCTTTGTCAGCAACTTGTGAATCAAAGGGATGGGTGCAAAAGCATAAAACTGGTAGGATGACCACGTTAGCAGGAAGGCATTTGTGATGGACCCCGGGCTGTAGCCCCTCAGGGAGCAGAATTGTTGACACTTCCTGTTGGCGCAAGTGGCAAAGACCCCACCTGCGGAAGATGTCCCAGGCAACATCCAGGCGAAGGGACCACTCGTGGTGAGTGGAAAAGAACCTGCTGAGGTGATCTGAGAGCTGGTTTTGTACGCCCGGTAGATAAGCTGCTTGACGCTTGATCACATGAGTGATGAAGAATTCCCATAGACGAGTCGCCGCTCAACAAAGACGGGACGAGTAGGCCCCACCTTGTCTGTTGATGTAACACATGGTTGATATATTGTCCTTGAGAACTGAGATTGTTTTGTTTGTAATATGGGGCAGGAACGCCTGACAAGCTAGGCAGTCAGCTCTGAGTTCCCTGATATTGATGTGGACCGAAAGTTCCTCTTGGGACCACAGATCTTGTGTCCTGAGATGTCTTAGGTGGGCTCTCCAACCTAGCACTGAGGCATTGGAGACCAAATGTGCGGACAGTTGACACCTTGTGAAGGACACTTCCTTACATAGCACCCTGTGGACTAACCACCACTCCAGGGAGTTGAGGCCTTGAGGTGGCACACTGAGGACCCTGTCCAGATGATGTCTGGAAAGGGAGTACACTGTGCCCAGCCGGGCCTGGCGAGGTCTGAATCTCAGCCTTGCATGCTGTACTATGTATGTGCAGGAAGTAGGCTTAAACACATTCTAACGGTCGTAGTCAGATGTGCCTGCAGGGAGCGTATTAATGATGAGATTGATCAGAAACTGTCCTCCAGAAGATGGGTTCTTGCCAACGTCAAGCCGAGAAATGCCCCAATGAACTCTATTCTTTGAACAGGCGTTAGGGTTGACTTCTGAACGTTTATCAGAAGACCCAACTTTTGGAAGGTTGATTGTATGAGTGCAATGTCGGACTCCACTTGCACTGGGGACCGGCCTTTGATGAGTCAGTTGTCCAAACACAGGAACACGTGGACTCCTCTTTTCCTCAGAAATGCTGCTATCACTGCCATTCACTTGGTGAAGACTCACAGAGCGGCTGAAAGACTGAATGGCAGGGCTGCAAACTGGTGATGCCCGTGGTTCACCACAAACCTGAGAAATCTTCTGTGGCCCTGAAATATCAAGATGTGGAAATATGTGTTCAAGTTGTACAGTATTTGATTAAAATATGACCATGCAAATCATTGTTGCTACCATTGTTATATAATTGCAACAAAACTTATACAAAGTGTGATTCATGGCCAGAAAAGGGTTAAGCATCCTGCAGGATCATTCAACCTTTACAGACATGTTAGAAAAGTATGCAAATTGTAATTAGGGCCATTCCATGCTAGATAGGCTAGAACTTTGAAATGCAAACCTGTATTGTTAGAGAATTGGAGGTGATACTAATTGTATGTGATTACTTATATCCTGTAAAATGTTAGCCATGTAAACAGACAGTTCCTGCTGTCACTATAGCTATTGATTCAGAGATCAAACGGGAATATTAACATTTAAATGAACTGTAAACATGGATATCGCTGTGTTCGTCTCTCTTTGAAATGTACAGCAAACCACCTGAGAATGATGGAAAACAAGCAATTGCCTTATGTTAATCTGTATAGATAATTACCCTCGATGCTTAGGAAATGGGTCCACTTCAAAGTCCATATGAGTGCCTATTGTTCACCTAAGGACTCTGAGCTGTCACATGAAGGCCTGAAACTGTATAAAGATGCCTTGGGTTCCAACCCTTTTTATCTCAGATCTGCGTGATGCTTCATGCAGTTAAGCTTACGCCCAAGATTGAGATCTCCAGTCCTAACCTGGAATCACCCTGAATATGAACATTGGACTATAACCTATGGACTATTTCTGAAAGAACTCTTTGCAACGACAAAGATCACCATTTATACTATGAATCTGAATCTCAAGAACTCTACTCATGTCTGTATGTATATTGATCTTTTAACCAATACTCTCTCTTTTATTTTTTAATAAATTTTAGTTTAATTAATAAGAATTGGCTGTAAGCGTGTATTTAGATAAGATCTGGAATATTCATTAACCTGGGAGGTAATGTGTCTGTTCCTTTGGGATTGGTAGAACTTTTTTATATGATGAATAAGATTTTCAGTAATCCTCATCATATTTGACTTGGTTGTCTGGGTTGAGGCCTGAGGCTGGGTTACTTTAAGGGAACCGTGTTATTGGCTTCTGGGTAACCAGAGAGGTATTACAGAGGCTGTTTTGTGCTGGCTTGGTGAATCTAAGTATTGGAACATCCACCAGCTTTGGGGATTGTCTGCCCCATTCTTTTCAGTTCACCCTAAGTGAGTGACTTCAGTTGGCTCCCCCGGGACTCTGGTTCATGCAAGTCAAGGGCGGCATACCAATCCCCCGGATCTAGAGACAGGATGATGGACACCAGGGAGACCATGCAGAACTTCAGCTTTTCTAGGTATCAGTTGAGTCCACGCAGATCTAGGATCTGTCTGAGACCCCTTGGCTTTGGGGATCAGAAAGTAGTGGGAATAGAACCCCTTTCCCCTTAGCTGTAGTGGAACTTCTTCCATGGCTCCCATCCGGAGAAGCAATTGCACTTCTTGCTCTAGCAGAAGCTCATGAGAAGTGTTCCTGAAGAGGGATGGGGAAGCTGGATGGGAAGAAGGGGTAGAAATAAACTGGAGGGTATACCCCGACTCTACTGTACTCAATACCCAGCGGTCGGAAGTAACCCGTTCCCAGGCCTTGAGGAAGTGGGAAAGGCGGTTGGAGAAGATAGGGGACGGATCCTGGAGCTGTGGGTTTGGTATGCCGTCCTCGAGCATCTCATCAAAACAAGTGTCTCGAGTTGCCTGAGTGGTGTAGGACTGATTGAGAAGGCCTTGTGGAGGAGGAGGATGGAGGTGGCCTGTGTGCGAACCCCCTGTTCCTTCTCCTCCTCTAATCATGACGTGGCTGCTGGGGGAAGTAGCAGCCATATTGCTGGGGCCTATATGGTCTCCTAGGCTACACAGGGTTGTGCAACCCGAAGGACTTTAGTATCACCCTGGAGTATTTAAAGCTGTGGAGCCTCGCATCAGTTTGTTCTGAAAAGAGCGAAGGGCTTTCAAAGGGCAAGTCCTGCAAAGTCTGCTGAACCTCCTGCGGGAGCCAGGATGTCTGTAAGCGTGAGCTCCTGAGCCGCAGAATCAGCCGCATCCAGGCTGCTTGCAGGGAGGCTCCGACAACCGACTTGCCCTCATCCACAAGAACTCCTGCTGATTGTCCTGGGGGAGTTTGTCTTTAAATCTGCTCATAGTCTCCCACATATTAAAATCACAGTGACCCACCAGAGCCTGCTGGTTTGTTATGTGAAGTTGAAGACCTCCCGTTGAATACGCTTTCCTCCCAAGCAGGTCCAACTTTTGGGGGTCTTTTGCCCTTAATGTATGTCCCGTCTGGCCCTGAGGGTCCCTCTCGTTGGTGGCTGCCACCATGAGTGATCCAGGGGGAAGGGGAGAAAATAAAAATTCAGAGCCCTGGGCAGGCACAAAGTATTTCTGCTCAGTTCTCTTGGCAGTGGGTGGGGCTTGCCAGAGGACCTTGATGGACTTCATAATTGCCTCATGCAGTGGAAGGGTGACTCTTGCAGGCGTTGTTGCTGCCAGGAAGTCCAAGAAATGTTGGGATGGTTACTCAATGGCCTTTGCCTGTAAGCCCAGATTGGAGGCCACCCGCTTCAGTAAGTCCTGGTGGGCCCTTAAATCGTCCTGAGAAGGAGACAACCCCTTTGACACCACTTCTTCCTCTGGTGAAGAAGAAGAGGAAAGGGCACGAAAAGCTGTCCCCACCTCCAGCTCTTCCTCTGCCTGGGGAACCTGTGCCTGCTGATCGGCACTGACTTCGGTACCGGATTGTGCACTGGGTTGTGTGCTGAGTCCAGTGACCGGCTTGGTACCGGGGCCAGCCCTCTGCATGTGTACCAGCTGATGCTTCCAGGGTCCCTCGGTGCAGCACCAGCGGCGCCCTACTCTCTTATATGACTGAGTAGGAGCACCACGAGCTAGAGCTTTGACTCAGGGGAAAGCCCCAGGGTTCCAGAAAGGCCATTGCGTGGGAATCGATCCCCATGGATCCCGGGGCCAGGCGCTCTGTGACAACATTGCACTGGTGCTCCCAGTCACTGATGGGCACGGGGAGTGGTGTTTGTAGCGCCGACAGTCCCGTCGGTGCACGGAACAGGGTCCCGAGTCCCACCTTGAAGAGGACCAGGAGCGACGAGGAGCAGGGAGACCACGGTGGTGCCGATTCTCCTGGTGCTGGGGAACAGTGCCGCAGCGATGTCGCAGGTGAAGCGATCAGGATAGGCTTGCCCCTGGAAAGTGGTCTCAGCACCAGTCTGGAACTAGTGTAGACCTCCATGCCACCGGGTGGTGCCGGAGGCGCTGCATCTTGGCTGCCAGGTGATCCTGGTATTGGCAGAGTCAACAAGTGTCTCTCCACCAGCATGGAAGGGACTGCAAATTGGTCAGCATGGTGCTGCAGGGCGGTTGCTCCCTTTGCGGGGTTTGCGGTACCGCTGTGGCTGTTGGGAGCGGTGGTTGTTGCCGTGCTGGAGAGGGAGAGCGGCCCGCCCCAGGGCTTGCTATCTTGGTCTCCTTTCTCGCCTCCCTCCGGTGCCGGCGAATAGCTCTTTTCATGGTGTCTATGATGCCTCTTCTATATCATCCGGAGGTGCACTATGCACCAGAGCAGATGTGCTCCGTGCCGAGTCGGATCTCAGCTCTGAGGTCAGTCTTAGCACCGCCTCCATTGGAGTCTCGCTGCCTGGTCCTTTTGCATGCGGGGTTTAAACTCCTGACAGATTTGGCAGCAGTCTGTCCTATGGCCCTCCCCCAAGTACTCGAGGCAGCTCAAGTGTGGGTCACTGGTGGGCATAGGTTTCCCACAGGCGGAGCACGCCTTGAACCACAGCGACTGAGGCATGCCCTGATACCAGGGCCGGGGGGAGGGCGGGACCTCCTTTCCAAACGTGGAGAGGTGTCCTACTATAACACACTAAAGCTTACTAAAATTAATCTAACTCATAACAACTATTTACAGCTAGATGAAGAGAAAACCACTCTAATGTTTTGCCAAGGGAGAGGGGAGTTTCAACAGCCATCGCGGGCAATAAGACGGAGCATGGGTTCAGCAGGCCTCTTATACCGGCACCCGGGGGCACCAGAGCCAACCCGACGGATACCACTGGGGAAAATATTCCCGACAGCTGTGCTCGGGCGCGCACCCACCCAAATCGGAATGGACACATGCATGCACTCGAAGAAGAACTAGTGTAACTTACACACAAGGCTATGGAAGATGGGAGGGTCTGGGAAAATGATGTCCCTTAGAGCATCAGACAAAGCACCAGAGGAGGCTTTATCTCTAGCCTTCCACTAGCTGCTTTTCTTGTACACGCCTAGCTTCTTCCCCCATGTCAGTGACCCCTGTTTTGCACACCCATGGAATGCCAAATCCGTGCGTCACCATTTACACCTCTCTTCAGACCAGCTGCACTGAGATGTCTTTCCCCACTAGATGGGGTGTAGTTTGTTCTCACCAAGCTGATCCTGGTACAAATTGGGGCAAAGGGTGTTTGTTTGTTATTTGAAAGGAAAATTCAAAGTGCACTCAGGCATAATCCTCCCCAGCTCCCTTCCCCAAAGATGGGGCCCTCCACTTCCAGGGTTTGGAGCTGCCATGTCTGCTCCACTGCGGCCTAGTGTCTGCCAAAAATTCTCCTCCCACCTATACTAGTGTAATCACAACTAACTCCATTGATGTGAAAGGTGTTATGCTAATGTCAGATAGGGGTAACTGAGGGGAGACTCAGGCCCAACTTCCCATCTCAGAGTGGGACTTTTATTTTCTCCATCTCAGGCCCAGCTACCACCGGTTTGGATCTTAGTCTCCTACCCAGCTCCAGGCCACGCGGTGAAGACAATCAGAAAGAATTTGTCATTGATGTAGCAACTGAGATCATTTTTTCTGCCTTTGCCTTCATCTCCCACCATCCTCCTGGCCAGAAGAGAACAGTCTCTGCACCTGTAAGGGGAGCGCCATGGATTATGATGACAATGCCTCTGCGGTTTCTGGCTGCACGACCTTCTGGAGAGATATCGATGCCAAGGTGGCGTGCGATGGCTCTGGAAATTGGGTTGTTGTCTAGTTCTCCAACAGCCTCTTTGCAGCTGCCATCAATGCTTCGCTGATACTCTACCACAGAGAAACAAGGGGTCAGATGACTCTTCCAGATGCCAGTGTCTCAGAGAATCCTTCCCCATTCCCTAACAGTGCACTCAGTGCTTTGGGAAAGTCCTCAGGAAAAGGACACTCGCCAAGTGGGGACAACAAGGCCTCAATCCTGCCTTCAGCTAAGGGTGCTCAGACATTCCTGGGCGCTCCCTGGTGTCCTCTCAGAACATCGTCTCACTGCTGCAAGTGTCCCGGCTGCTGGAAGGTAAGTGAACAGGGTGACAGAGCGGGGAACGAACAGCCAGTCTGTCGGCCATAAACACTCAAATGGTTCTGCCTGCTCTGTCACACCCCAATACACCCCACTATCCAACAGCACCACAGGAAATGACATCACACTGACTGCCTGGCAGCACCTGTGGATTTGATCCCAGGGGGTATGAAGTATAATTACCAGGCACATAGCAACAGACATTTAATGCAGTCATAACTCTGGGGATTGAACGTGTGGACCAAGCAAATAATTTGCTATGGGAGTCAGACTGCTGAGGCCCTGCAGGAATCCTCTGCAGTTTAATGATCTCCAGCAGAGAGCTGTTTTCCTCTTCTGCTCAGTCAAATGGTTAAGAAAACACAACACAGGGAGATTTGACTGTGAAGGTTATTTTCATGGCCCTTCTATGAATCGACTGCAGTGTTTGCAAACAATCATTTGCTTCTTTACAGCTCCCAGCTTCTTCCCTTACTAGCCCTCTGAGTGCCAGACACCTTGGCTCGTGACACAGTAAGCAGCTGTCACACACACGACAGTGACAGAGCTGCCCTTGCTGGAATGCTCTGGACTGCCATGCAGGAGACCCACACTCAAATCCTGGTGGTGGGCTCAGTCTCCAAGTGTCCAGAGCTGAGAATGATGGCGAAGCTGGGCACTGGCAGGGAAAAGCACCTCCCATGCTTCAGTAGTGACCTTTCTGGTCAACAGAGAAGTGGTGATATGAGGGAGTGAGGCAGGAGTTTCAGACTGCCCCCCAGAGTCAGTGGCAACGTCCACTGTAAGGAGAAGGGGAGTTAACATGAAGCAAATGGAAGGATCCTGAGGGGTCCAGCTGAGAGTCTGGGGACCCTGTTCGGGAAAAGGAAAGGATCCCAGACTACGTTACATGGGTGCAAAACCACAGATCTGAGAGGGTGCGGATTTTGCACAACCAGAGAAAAAAATCCCGCTCCGCCTCCACAGCCAGGGAGGAGCCTGGGTGCAGTAGGATGGGTGTGGTTCTGTGGAGTGAGGGGAAGGCAGGATTTTGGGAGCTCACTCAGGAGATCCTCCTGTTTTTGTGCACAGTGGAGCAGGGCCGGCTCTGGCTTTTTTGCCGCCCCAGGCAAAAAAGCCTCCCCCCGCCCCCCCCGCAGGGGAGGGCGGCGAGCCCCACCGGGGCTCCGCTCTCCCCGGCGGCGAGCCCGGCCGGGGCTCCGCTCTCCCCGGCGGCCAGAGGCAGCGCCGGGGGGAGGGCGGCGAGCCCGGCCGGGGCTCCGCTCTCCACGGCGGCCAGAGGCAGCGCCGGGGGGAGGGCGGCGAGCCTGGTCGCGGCCCTGCTCTTGGGCCGCAGCACTGCGCTGCCCCCCTCCAGGTGCCGCCCCAAGCACCAGCTTGCTGGGCTGGTGCCTGGAGCCGGCCCTGCAGTGGAGCTTGGAGTGGCAGGGCAGAGTGGGCCAGGCTGAGGCCAGTGAAACCATTGCCCCACGGATCCACTGGCCATCACCCCCGTGACCCTCCAGCCTGGCAACATAGGCATGACGTAGAGGAGAGGATTTGAGGATTTCAGAAGGTGACAGCTTAGGAGGCCAAGTCTGCGGTGAAATGATTGAGGGAATACACGAATCCTCTCAGGGCCATTCCCACCGTGATGGATGGTGAACTGTTGGAGAGCTGGGAGTGGTTACCTAGCCCCTGTCCTTTTTCAGCACCTTCCTCCTCCTCCTCCTCCTCTTCCTCCTGCTCGAATTTAGACTCCACCTTGTGAGAACGGCTTTCCTCAAACACGGAGATGGAGGGAAAGATGGTGATAGTGGTGGAGGCAGTGCGTGTGGTCCCAGAAGGGTTTTGCTTCATTCTGCGCTCGGAGAGAGATGGGTTCTCTTCATCATCTACTCAGGGGGAAGGAGAGGGAGGAAGAGGAGGGAAGGGAGGAGAGATTGAGTGCAGGAAGACAAGGCGGTACTTGGCTATTTACCATTTGACATTTGTTATTGCCTTGCTGTACAAGCTAGGTTCAGGCAATGCCTAAGCCACATGCAGTCCACTGCCCCTGGGGGAATTTCACCTCACGGCTTTTCCTCAAACAGCTCTCTTTGACTAGGGACTCTTTGTGGTCAATCACATAATATGATTTCTGCCTCAGTATCGGGTGACTGAAACTTTCACAGCTGGAGAGCAGCTAGTACAAAATGATGAAAGCACATAACAGCCCTTGCAGCAGGAATTTTTGGTCAAATGTTCATTGGGCATGTCTACAACTACTGCAGTAATTACTGGAGTGGTTCATGGCCACACTGCCCTTCTTCTGTCTGTGGTGTGTGTCCTCGAGGGGCAGTGTGGGGGGCTGAGAGCCTGGGCTCCCCCCCGGAAGCTGGGCTGCTCCCGGGGCTCTCAGATCCCTGCTCGGGAGCCCAGGTGCTCTCACTTCCCGCTGCCGTGCTCCCTGCAGGGGGCGTGGAGTAGAGAGCGGGGTGGGGGCAGCCCTTGGGCTCCTGGCAGGGAATGGGGAGCCTCGGGGAAGCCAGGACCCCAGGGGGCAGCCCGGCTTGGAGCGTGGTGGGTGCAGCCTGGCAGGGAGCCTGGGGGAAGCTGGACTCTAGCTGGAGCTCCTCTCCCCCAGCTTTCCTGTTTATTTCATGGCTGTAGCATGGAGCTGTGAAAGTGACGAGAATGACAGCCAACAGCCGGTGTAAGTAACCCGCAGTGTCCACAGGGACACTGCGTTGGCCTAACTACTCCGACATAAGCCCCACGCCTCTCGCGGAGGTGGCGTTCTGATGTCGCTGAGGCAGGGCAGGAGCAAGGCTGGAGTGTGTACGCTGACACGGTTAGGTCAACATAAGCTGCTTTATGTCGACCTAACACTGTTACGTAGACCAAGCCATAGGTCTGTGGACATCTCCATTCAGACCCATCAGTTGTCCATGTATTCACAAGTAATAAATAATACAATCCCGGGAAGAACAGTGAATTAGATCAGGGCTTTCATTTGCAAACATTCACACCAAGCTTTTAAAACTACAGAGCTCTATTTTTTGTATACGTTAGAGTTTGATTTATTGCCTAGAAAGCTTCACTGTCCAACCATGTAGAGCAAATCAGCAAGTAAAATAGCAGGCAGGTGTATAGAGTGAGCATGCTCAGAAATCTGACCTCATACGTGCTTCTCAGCCTTTTCTATGTTTATAACTAATTCCTGTTTAACAGACCAGAGGAATTTGGTGCACACAGAGCAATCAGCCACCAGCTGAACTGAAAAGCAGTGCTCTTCACGGTGTGAACATAGTGGGGAAATACATGCACTAGATTGCTAAAGCCTGCTGGCCTGTATTTCTCATGCACTTGCAGTGTGGTAGTGACTCATTACCTGTAACTGCACATGGTTCAGGTAAGTCTCTGTTGAGAGATGTGTTGTGTCCTATCATGTGAGAGGCAGGGCTCTTCCTCCACAGCCAGGGAGGGGCATGGATGGATGCAGTAGGATGGGTGTGGTTCTGAAGAGTGAGGGGAAGGCAGGATTTTGGGAGCTCACTCAGCGGATCCTCCTGTTTCTGTGCACAGTGGAGCTTGCAGTGGCAGGGCAGAGTGGGCCAGGCTGGGGCCAGTGAAATCATTGCCCCACTGATCCACTGGCCATCACCCCCGTGACCCTCCGCAACATAGGCATGATGTGGAGGAGTCTCTTGTACAGGCGGTCAGACTAGATGATCACAATGGCCCCTCCTGGCCTTTGAATGGACGAATCTATTATTTAAGGTAACAATGGGTGGGAAGAGCCAGATCTGGGTGGGCATGAAAAGAATCCATGAAATCCCATCACTGGGGCTCTGGCTCCAGCACTACACAGGAGTCTAAAGGGCTGGATTCTGCTCTCAGTCCATTACACTGCAGTCCAAGGGGGGAGTGACAGCAGTGGTGATGTACACTGAGCAGATGGGGCCTACGGCTCCTCTCATAGCCTGTAAATCAGGAGTGACTCGTCAGAGTCCACGGAGACCCACCAGTGTAAGTCAGAGCAGAACTGGGACCAGTGGGAACGGCTGGCTGCTGCAGACAAGGCCTGCTATAGAAGGCCAGCTAGTACATAGTTTCCATGCGGATACCTGGGTTTCCTCCACCAGCGTTTGCACTCACATTTAGCCTTGGGGAAAATCCTAGACACAGCTAAGGTCAATGCTGGACAGTTCTGTTCCTTGAAAGTCTAGAACAAGCTGCCCTTTGTTCAGAGTCCTCACCGTTCTCTTGGCCTATTGCCTCCATCATTTTGGCCTTAGCTTGCTCATCTGGAATCCTCTTCTGGTCTTTGTAATACTCCAGCACCTCCGGAGGCAGCTTCTCACCTGGGATGCGAGGGGGCAGCAGCAGGGTGTTATGGGAATCGTAGCCCTTCAGCATCCGCAAAATCTGTGGCCAAAAAGAAGAGAAGCCACAGGCATAGGACACGCTTCCAGGAATCCATTCCCTCCTCCCCCAGGGTGCCTCAGAGAGAGCCCAGGGGTCTCTCATATCCTCTCTTCCTTCTCCTCTCTCCCACAAAGGCCACGCGTTGTAGAGACCTCCCCTCTAACTGATCTGGGCTGGCCACATACCCCTCTGCAGCCCATCAGCACAGCTGCCTGCATGTGCCGGATGGGGCTACAGAGTAACATGAGGTGCTGGCCTGCTAGGGCTGGACCACAGCCTCCTGCCCCCAGGGGTAAATCAAAGTCAACCTGAGACCCGCTGTGACACCATTCACTTGAAGCCTGCCCCTGGCCCTACGATTCAGTGTGAAAGGTCTCCCACCAGCTCCAAATTGCTCTGCCAGGAGGCGCTGGTGCCACAGGGCAGTGGAGGAGGGAAGGGGGCATGTCTCTGGAATAGTACACGGAGGGAGGGGTTTGTGGGACTAGTGAGTGACTCCAACAGGGATAATCCATGGGAGTTGGGAAGCAAGCAATGAAATGCAGCTACTCCTCGAAGCCAGCATCCCAACTGCTGGCCCTTTGGGCTCTCTGCCTGGTTCGCCTCTAGTGCTTGGTCCCACTTAATAAAGAGTTGGAACTTCAGGAACTCTGAAGTATTCTGAGGTTTTCAGTGACAAGGGGAGTGCCCGGACTCCCTCTCCTCTCACCCTCTCCTCAGTCAGATACTGCTGGTCAAACTCCAAGGAGTAGAACTCAATGGGGAACTTGCATGGGTTCTTCACTACCACCTCTGCCTCATCCCCCACACCATACGGCAGCAGGGGCCCCAGCTCCAGCACTGAGGGTGTGAACTCCAGCCGTGGCTCCAGACCGTATCCAGAGACAAGCAACAGCAGCCGCTCACTGCTCTGGGAGATGTGCACCGTTAGATGGTTGCTGTAGAACCTCTGGGAAGAGAGAGAGAAACCCGTAGGATTCCTTCATGCCCCTTGCTCCACAGAAACACACAGGGCCCAAGTGCACCACTGGCCTATGCGAGATCAAGGCCCCAGGGGCCAATGAAGCTGCACACATTTACTTACATCACCGGTGAATTTGGCCCGTATCTCAGTGTATTTGCATTCAGGCCCCAGGTGGTTCCAGGACCCAGCACTATATCTGGGTACTTGGATAACAAAGCCAAGATGATGTTTTGGGTGATTTCATCCTTGTCCTTGGTGAATGCACAACACAAAACCAGTGGGGAAACGAGGTGTATCCTTAACAGAAAGGCTCAAATGACACACAGTGTGGAGAATGACTCACCTCTTCCTGAAGCAGCACTTGCTGGATCACGCCACCTGAGCATAAATGCTGGGCAGCCCTGCCTCAGAGCAGGGCGAGACCTATGGGAGGGTGGATCAGCCTGCATCTGCCCACCTTCCTCTGAAGCATCTGGCACTGACCACTGTCAGAGACAGGCTACCAGGCTCGATGGCCGTTGGGGTTTCCCCCCTTCAGGGGACAGTTCTCTTAGAGGCAGCCCTGATGGGGAGTCTAGGAGAAAGGTGGGAAGGCTGCTCCCAGGGTGATGGGGCAGCTCTCCCAGTTATAAAAGCCACAGGAAGGGGATCATCAGGGCCGTCCCTAGCAGGGTGCAGGGCCTGGGACAAATCAGCCTCTATGAGCCCCCCTTAACATTTTTATACAGGTGAAATCTGGTGTGTGGAGGGGACACCAATGCTGGGGGGCGAGGGACGATGGAGAGTCACAGGGTTGCACCTGTGCTCGGGGCGAGGGGGCCCCCTATGCTGCGGGGTCCCAGAAAAGGGAAGGGGCTGGGGCGGAAGGGCACTGGATGGGGTCAGCCTGGCACTGGCGTGTTCTGGCGGCACTAGGACGCTGGCGGCTGGTGCGGTGGCGGGCGACACTGGGAGCGGGCGGGGCAGGGCGGAGCGGGGCGAGCTGGGGTCACTGCTGCTGCTGCCGGAGACTGAGCCCAAGCCTCGTGATGCCGAGCAAGAAAGAAATACGACGCGCACTTCCCGCCAGTGAGTGCAGGCCCGACCCCTGCTGCTGGAGCCAGGCGCACTGCTAACTCCTAGCCCCATCCCCGGGCCAGCCTGGCCCCCCAGGCACTCCTAACTCCACCTCACCATGCTGGCCTAGGGCACCCCACACGACACATGCACACTGAAGCAGGGGGGCCCACAAAGCACAGGGCCCAGAGTGGTCGCCCTGATTCACCATACCCAATGGGGGTCATAGAGAAGTGGTAAGATAGCAGGACTTTGCACTCGGGTAGTACTGTTCACTTGTAGATCTCAAAGCTCTTTACTGAAGGGAGCACAAAGGGGGAAACAGAGGCACCAACCCTGGGTTCTCACCACCACACCACCCCGCCTCCCCCTTCTTTGGTAATTACTAGACGATCTCACCTCTTCCACTGGCGCAAACTTGACCTGCACATTGAGTCGCTCCCCTGGAGCCAGCATTCCAGATGAGGGGATCATCTCAAAGATGTGGGGCTTTGATTTGAATTCCTGACGCAGCCTCCGCCGCAGACTGGCTGGCAAGTGTTTATCCACCTGATTGCCCAAACCCAAATGATTAGCTCAGACCCTGAAACACTGCTACAGCCCCAGCCTCCCTAGAACACGGACCAGCCAAGTAGCCAGTCAGAAACAGCTGTTTCAATTAGCCAATGAGAAACACAGAAGCACGTTACAGTTCAGGCTGGGGATGAAGAATGACAAGGAGATGGCCAGGGAATTAGTAGAGAGACAAGGCGCTAACAGATGACAAGTTCCAGACAATCAGAGCCAGCTCCAATTACCCAGGTTCTAAAACCACTTTACTCTTGCTGATAGTTACAAGAAATAAACAGTATGGGTGGGAACTTCAAAACAGAGGAGGGGATGCTGAGAACAGGTCTTCTCCCACCTCCTCCCCCATCTCCAGCTGAGCAATTCCTCCTCTTCTCTCCTCTCTCCAAGTCCCTTAGTGCAGGGACCAGCCGTGGCTGAGGAGGGCTGCGTGAGACTTTCTTCAGAGCTCATCAATGCTGGCCCTTGCTTCGCTACCAGAGGTGCTGCAGAGTATCATTCCCTCTTCCCACAATCCCCTGGGCAGCCTTGTGCTCCCTGCGTCTCCTGGCCTGAGGAGTGACGCATGCGGCTCAGGAATCAAGCACATTCCTGTTTGCAGAACAGAGCATGAAAGGGCGCTAGGCTGTCCCATGATGTTCTTAAAAAGGGAATTCCCACTTGGCTCACAGCTTTGATATTAGCAGCTCAAATGTATCAGCTCAGCAAATGTCATCAGCTGTTTGCCTGTTGGGTCTTAAAATGCACCCAAGGCCTAGTGAGCTGACTGTATTGCTGGAGGAGGCTGGTACTCTGCTGTAGGTCCTGGATCTGCAATCCTTACTCACTGAGTCACTACTGAGGGAAGTGCTACTCTGTGCAGAAAGGGTTGTGGAACTGAGGCCTGAGGGCACAAAGGGGAGCGGCAGTAAAGGAAGGAGGCAGGGACGTCACTGGCTGTCTTTGCTTTACCTTTTTGATGCGCTCATTGCTGGTGACGAACCATTCGCAAGCGACCTGCAGCTGATTGTGGAGCTGGATGGTCTCCACCTGGCACTGCCCACACTGGACGGAGGAGAAGTCCAGCTTGTGGCTGGAGATGCAGAGCGAAGGCATGGTCACCTTGGCACGAAGGCAGATGTGAAACGTCGGGCCAGCCACAACCTGAGTACACAACACAGCCCCCGGTGAGAAGTCTGGAGGAGAACTAACTGCAGACTTCAATCGCGACAGCCTGGGGAAGCTGGGCTAAGAGAGTGACTCAAACCTTTACCAGCAGGGGATGCAGAGTGAAGGCTACGGGGCTGGAGAATACCTCATACCTTGATGGGCAGGAGCACTTCCACATCTCCCAAGGGCAAGTTGGCACTGCGGGGATCAAACCGTACTTCAAACGTTTCTGTCTCACAGTAGGGCAGGTTCTTCACGCGGTCCAGTTCTACGCTGAAACCTTGAACAACAGATAACAAAACCACTTAGAACCTAAGGTCTGCAGAAATCGTAGTGTAACTACGCCTCGCAGCTGTCACAATACAGCCCTCCAGAACTTACTGGTGACAGAGTGACGGAGAGCAGATCCCTCTGCTCCAAAAGCATAGGTACCAGAGGGAAAAGAGAATCTCCATTGGCTGAAAGCACTAGGGCCTATGACACAGCCGGGGCGGCTCCAGGCACCAGCGCACCAAGCGTGTGCCTGGGGTGGCAAGCCGCGGGGGACGGTGTGCCGGTCGCCATGAGAGCGGCAGTCAGGCAGCCTTCGGCGGCATGCCTGCGGGAGGTCTGCCGGTCCCACGGTTTCGGTGGCAATTCGGCGGCGGGTACGCCGAAGGCGCGGGACCGGCGGACCTTCCACAGGCATGCCGCCGAAAGCCACCTGACTGCCATGCTTGGGGCGGCAAAATACATAGAGCCGCCCCTGGACACAGCACAGCAGTTCTGATTCTACTTAGTAGAAACACACACACACACACACACACACACTCATTATAACACAGCAAAGCTGAGCCAGTGTGAACACTTGTACACATCCTGGCTAGTCTCCTGAGTTTCTCATGGTTGGGGATTTATATGAGTGATCCCTGTTAACGCAAAGAGCAACTTTACATACAAAGCACTGCACATCAGAGTGTGGAAATGGAAGTCACTATTCAGCCAGTAAAGCACCAGAAACCCCAACCCACAATAACGGAGCACAGGAGAGACCCATCTGCTCTGCATGTACGTGGGCAGGCCCCCTCACTTTGCTCTTCAGCATCCCAAGTGTTTGGAACAAGTTACTGAGCTGCTGAAATCCCACCTATTCTGACTCTCTTCTGCAGAGATTCCAAATCAGCAGCTCCCTACCAGACACCCCAGAGGTGGCTTTAAGGACCTTTCTCCCAGCACAGTCACTGCTTTCTAACAGGACTTGGCTAAGAACTGGTTGACCCTGTAATTTTAAAGCAAAACGTTGAAAACAAACACCCAGACGTTCTCATTAGTGTTATAAAAGGGGATGATTATTTACTGTTGGTAGCACTGGAGCAGTGAGGGCCCCTAGTGACATATCAGAACCTCATTGTGCTAGGCACTGTACATACACAGAACAAAGTAATCAGAGCCTGGCATGTGAGTCTAAAACGCAGGTTTAATAACAAAATAAGCGCTGTGCTCAAGTCTGCCATGAACGAGGTGTGTCTGTGTGCTCCCATGCTGCAAACCTGCATTCCAGCTATCAGACGGAGGGAGCCCAGGCCACAGGCCAAGCTGCAGCAAGGGGAGGAAAGAAGGAGCTGACTGCAGCAGCATCTAATTCCCTAATGACTGATCCCTGGAGAAACACTGACACTGATCATAAAGGATGACTCTGAGCCCAATCCTGCTCCCATTAAAGTCAACAGTAAAGCTTCCATTGATCACTTAGGGAGCAGGAACAGACTTGATAGAGTCTGGTCTAGATTCTCTCCTGCACTCAGAGCCACTCAGCCCTGGGAGTGGGCTTAGGGGCTGCTCTTATTTATGCCAGTTGGCTATGATCCCTATGGGACCATCGGCCAGCTGAGAATCGAAGGAGCACAGACACGCTCCAACTTTTCCCCACCAACAGGGTGTGTGGGCGGGGCATTGGCTAGGAGCTGGTATGCTGAGAGCTGCCCTGCACCAGGGGAACCTGGCTCTCTGTCCCTCCACCTGAAGTAAGAGTTGGCAGAAAGGCAGCTGGTCGAGTGGCGCGTGGGGTGAGCGTTACTGGACAGAGGAGAGCGTAAGAAACAGCAAGCCCCAATGGGAAGAGGTGGGATTTCCCATAATACCTCTGCACATTCAACAGATTTTGAACTATTGCATCAGACTGAGATGGTTCATTCCAACTTTGATTCCTGCTGCCATTTAGTTAAAGCCCACATAAGCATCTCATCCCCATTACCTGTATCATGCAGGGCCCGTCTGTCTGCATGGAAGGATACAGGAAACTGGCTGGTGTTGGTGATTTTGACAATGTGAGTTCGGATGTTACCAAGAATGATGTAGCCAAAGTCCAAGATGTATTCAGGCAGCTGAGCTCTGAAAGAGTTAACGAGAGCTCAGTTTCAGTCACAGCCTCCTGCTCAGCTGAGCTGCATTTTCAGAGAGGAGCAAGTCCCGTGGTTATAGCACCATTCACTGCTTTGAAAATTCAGCCCTAAGTGCCTAACCCCAGGTCTAAATTCCCAATGATGTGTCATTAACAGCTTGTCTACATGGGCAGCAGTGCATGATTTCTAAAGTACACCAATGTGTTGCATGCTAACTGGCCCATGTGGAGCCTGCTGGCGTGAACTAAAAGGTCCCTAGTGCATATGAACGTAATGCTGGGTCAGCCAAAATTGCTTCAATACATTTCAGTGAAGTTTCTCTGCACTGTAACCATGTTTCACCCATGCCAACGCCCTTAGAATGCAGCCCTCAGCCCCTAGATAGGAGGTGAGGCTCTTCCAAAGCAGGCCCGTTCCTCGTTGGTGCTAGGGCTGCAATTCAGGAAGGCAGCACTATTCTGGAGAGCACTAAAGCATACCAGTAACCCTACGCACATGCTTAGGTGCAGGTGAAGTCAAAAGCACAAGCATGTTCCTGAATCAAGGCGTAGCCGACCAGGGGAGATGTCTTTGTCTCATTCAAGGAGGGGTAATGAGAAGACTTGTTGGTCTGTGCACCCCTGTGATCCCACCAGTAGCCAAGCTCCTTGGGCTAAGTCTTGTCCAGTTGATATCTGTGTAATTCCCAGTTCCTAAACTCAGCAGTGGAACATTTTCCTGCTGTTATGCCCAGTCTGGTCAGCTTGTCATGTGAAGCCTTCTGCTCCATGGCCCATCAGCAGCAATGGTTATTACCCAGTCTGAACTGGTTTGATGGTCTCTGGCTGCTGCCAGTAATGATGCATTAACCTGGCAAAAGGCAATTTGACTTTAATAAATTTGACTGACTCTGCTGGGCTGAGAGCTGGAGACAAAACCAGCCCAGCAACACCAGGAAGATGGAATTGCTGAATCTTTTGCAAGGAATGCTACACATTCCAACCAGCGAGCTGCAGAGGGACCCCCAGGAGTCGGAATCGGAACCAGTCCTGAATTCCAAACTCTGGCACTGGGAGGTGCTGAGCACCTGCAGGTCCCAGCAATGTCAGTGGGAATTGAGGACACTCAGCAGCTCGCAGGAGGTGTGCAGTATCCCACAGGAACAGGCCTTGCTGAGGTGCAGAGCTATTGCCACGTGGTTCTGTGGATGCAGGCACCCTGCACAGGCCAATAGGCAACAGGCCATCACTAACTTGACAAGCTTTCGGCGAGCACGCTGGCTGAGGGTGGAGTCCTCCGTGGGATCAGAGATAATAGCTTTCTGCTGCTCCAGGGCATGTTCTTGTATGAGCAGCCGCTCCACTTCCATCTGCAGCCAAGTGTCAAACTGGGGAAAGCAAAGAGAGTAGCTGGTCAGCAGAAGCCCTCTAGATCAGTGCTTCTCATAGGACCGGCAATTTTTTTTCCCAATGTGCCAGGGACCGGTGCCATATTATTATCCTATTCGACGCTCTTATGAAACTCGCCGCAGATCGGCAGCCGATGGCTTGCGGACCGGCACCGGTCCGCGGACCACCACTTTGAGAAGCACTGCTCTAGAAAGCACAAGCTCTTCCCGGAAGGCAGGCCCCCATTCTCATTGTGTGCAACCTCTGTCATCCCTTCCACAAGGCAAACACCTGTCTCACTGCTGAGTCTGGATGTAGCTCCCCACCAGTCTCCCTACAAGTGCGACAGCGGTGCAGCGCAGTAGCGTAGAAACTTCATACATCCATGGAAGGGTTTTTCTGTCGATGTAGGTAATCCCCCTCCTCGAGCAGCAGCAGGTATGTTGACGGAAGAACTCTACCATCGACCTAGCCATGTCTACACCAGAGGTTACGGCGCTTGGGGGGGTGATTTTTTTCACACCCCCAAGTGACGTAGTGAGGCTGATCTAATTTGTAAATGTTGATCTGGCTGTAGTCTACCAGCAAGCCACCTTGCCTGGAGATAGCATAAGAGGTCAGTCTGGTAAATGACCTGGTTTTCTGTCTGGCTAGTCAGAATTAAAAACTGAGTAGCCAGGCAAATATACAGGCCAATTACCAGACAAGACAGGAAACTTTCAATATTCCAAGCACCTGTCTGTCCCCGGTGGAGGACTGGAATGCACTAAATGGTCACTATTAAAGAGAAATGCAACAGGCCCCTACAAGGGAGGACCACTCCAATCACTGATACAGGCTGGACTGTAGTAAATCTGCTGGCAGAAGGGTGAACACCTGTCTGTCTAACACAGCTAATTGTGGGAGTACAGATTTAAGGTGTGATATGATATGATACAATGTAATGCAATTTTATGTAGGTTTTCCCACCCAGGGAACTATTTTAAATGCTCTTTGCCATCGCCATGAGTCTATACAGAATATGGACTGCAATGCATTGAAAACAGAAAGATCTAGGAACGTAATGATAATCTAGAATTCAACTGAATATCATTACAGAGACCTGAGGGAATCGAGCTACTGATGAGTGGGTATTTGTTGGAGTGGAAAGTCCCACCCAGAGTTGTTTATAACTTCACATTAACCGTTGGGGAGAGGATGAGAAAGAGAACAAACCACACATGACAGATGTGAGTCATGTCACTTCATGCACGTCTGATGCTACCGTGATGAGCATGGTTATAAGAACATAAATAAACAAGACTCTGGAATAGATTCGACTGGAGACTCAAATGGTTCAGTTCTCTACGATCAGGTGAACCTAGAAATATTGGGTCTGAGTAGGACACATAGCCCTCCCCACATCAGCAACCAGCTAAATCCCCATTACCAAACATTGACACCGCCCCAAAGGTTTACCAGCGCTTTACACCGCGGAACGAAGGCATGCTCCCAGCCGGGAAGAGCCACTGCCTGAGCTAATTGAGTACAAGATACCCAAGCTAGCAGAGATCACCTGTCATACAGTACTTCCTTTCATAAGCTTCCAAATGCTACACACCAGTAGCATGCTGAGTGTTGTGCTGCACCAGGCACCTAGAGAACCAGGCACAATGTTTATGCCTTTGTCTCATCCCTCTCTTGGCTGTGCACTTCTTTGGGCTCAGCCCTGCAGTGTTTACTTGCATCTAGTCCTACTGGAAGTCAATGGGACTACTCAGGTCAGTATGGGCTGCAGGGTCAGGCCGTGTATTATTGAGATTGTTACATTTTCTGAAGAGCATTATCTAATGCAACTACAGTAGTTACAAACTGTAGGCACGTTCACCGTGGCAGGTGACTGTGGTGGTGGATAACCTACCAGGGATGCAGCTGCAGTGACACAAACGATACAGTGCCAGTCACCCCGTGGAGGTGGGGGCATTCAGAGTCAGTACAGGCCAAAATAAGGGTGGCTGCAGAGAGGTGTGGTCAGGGCAGCAGGAAGCACTTAAAGGAAACAGCAGCCTTTCTTACCATGGTGCCAGACTGGTCCATGGATGGCTCTGCAGCCATTGCATCTGGGTGGCCAAGTGCCTCATCTCTCTGAGTCTCTCCTTCTATTCTTTGTTTTGCCTCCTTGAGGATATTCTCATACCTTTCATTTCCTGAAGGAGGAACCAATGGGTGGTCAGGAAATAAGCACGGGTTATAGCCAGATTCTACCCCCGTTACACCCAGGAAACCTCGCTGAACCCTACCATGGCCCCCCACCTCTGAGACCCACTGAGGAAAATGCAGGGACAGTCCATACTTCCTTCCCTACAGATTAGCTCTCTCCTCCTGCAGCTCTGCCATCAGTTCTGTTCTCTCCCAATTAGGTCCAGCGCTTATGATCTTTGCTCAACCTCTGACTTTCTTCTTAAAACTCCTCCCCTGGTTCTGTCCTCCTCCCTTCCCATCTAGGAACTTGCTGGTTCCTTCATAATCAAAATAGATACAACTGGCAAGAGCTCCTCCCCTGTCTTCTCCATCCCCTTCCCCTTCCCCATCTTCCCCCCGTCTGACTCTTCTTGTCCCTGGCTCACCTGACATGGCTTCTCCCCGTCCTGATTCCCCCCAGATCTACCTTGCCGACTCCATGTGTTTGCACAACAGTCACTGCCTCTCAATCTTGCTGTCCTGCCTCCAGCTCAAGCTAAGCATGACCCAGAGTGAGCCCCTCATCTTTCCTCGCAGGCTCGCTCCCTTCCTCCATTGTCCTCCCTGTCACTGAAGCAAACAACCTCAATGTCTGATCTGAGTCCTCTCTTCCCCGCACAAACCCCATTCAGGTTATTCCAAAATCCTTTCGGCTTTTCCTCTCCAGCATCGATCAAACCTGTCCTTCCCTCTGCAGCCCTGTGGTTATATCTCTTCTCCATTGCTTCGGGTCTTCTCCTGCCTTGACTAACCCCAGTCTCCTACTCTCTGGCCCCCCACTTCCCTCCCCTTCAGCACATCCCAAATGCTGCTGTGAAAAAGACCTCTCCTCACACACCATGCAGAGCATGTGCCTTCCTCTCTGAATCCCTCCACCGGTCCCATTCATCTTCCTCCTCAATACAAGTGTCTCATTCCCACTGAGCTGTACCCCTCCCTGCCCCCATTCCCTCCTACCCCACAACTCCTTGCTCACCTGGACCCTTTCTGGGCCTCTGTTGTATCACCTGGCTCTCTCAATGGTACGGTCTCTGGGGCAGAGACCACATCCTCTCCTGCATTTGCTGCCATGTCAGTGCTCAATAAATACCACATGCCGATAGCAGCAGTTGACAGGTTGAAGATTTCGTTAACAATCCCTTGAGCCAATAGACTAGGTGGGGCCAAACAACCTGACTAGTGCTAGGATTGAGCTTGCCAAGTTTCTCCGATGGAGTTGCCTGCCATAGCAGGGAGTGGACTCCATGACCCAGGAGGTCCCTGCCAGTCCTATGGTTCCCAGAACCTACATGTTCTTTGGAAGTACGTGGGATGGTGCCCTATGAATGCGAGGCAAGGAAGTACTGGAGAGAGAGCCTTCAGCGAGTGTCTGGAACTGAGCAGAAGAGGGAGTGGTGGGCAGGGTGTCCCTACCTTTGATGTTTCTGGGCAGATCCAGGCAGATCCTGGGGAAGGTTCCCTCTCCTTTCAAGGTGATGCTCTCTGGCTCCAGGTGGGCCACCTGTATCTGGAAGGTCTGTTGGAAGACCTCAGGCACACCAGGCAGGTAATAGACCTTCAGCACTTGTTCTTTTTTGGATTCAATGTAACCCTGCAGCAGGAGGGAGACAGGCAGGACATGGTACCGGGCAGAGAGTTCACTGAACACATGGGGATGCTGCCAAGAGCTGGGGTGGGGGCAAGAGGTGAGGAAGCGAGGGCATCGAGCTGAAGCAAACAGAATGAGTGAAGTTGCTCTCACTGGATTCAAGCGACGTGTTGTAGCTTCCATACACCCAAAAGCACTCATAAGCTCAAGCCTCTGTGTCAGAATACACTGTGAGGCTTACCCCGTCAGACCAGTACTAATGCAGGACTGGATGTGCCCTGGGTGCCTTCAGGGTGCACTGCTGGCTGATTCGGCCCCAGTTGTGGCTCAGAGAGGGGACAGACTATGCCCAACCAGCTCCACAGCCCCAATTTACCCCACTCCCTTTCAGGCAGCTTGCACCCAAGAGGGTAACAGCCAACAGGGATCAGGCCCTGTGCCCCCACCCTCATCCACATTGCACAGGGCTGTGAGTGGGGGAAGAGAGGCTGCCTGTGCCCTTCACACTTGGTCACCCAAGCAGGCCCAGAGCTAGGTGCTAGGCTTGGAAAGTCTTTTCTAGGAAAATACTTCATTCCTGCTGGCAAAGGGGAAGTGTTTTCATTCGCCTGCATGGAATCCTGGGTGTGGCAAACCACTGCAGTAGCTGGGCACATCCAGTAGGTTGCTGGGCCGAAATTGTGCAGGGTGCACATTTCAACACATCCGAAGAAGTGGGTTGTAGCCCACGAAAGCTTATGCTCTAATAAATTTGTTAGTCTCTAAGGTGCCACAAGTACTCCTGTTCTTTTTGCGGATACAGACTAACACGGCTGCTACTCTGAAACATTTCAACACAGCAACTTCCTGGAGAAGCTCACCCAGGGCAGCGAGAGGAAGGGGGGCCGAGTGGCTAAGTTGCTAGCCTGGACTGGGGAAACCCAGGTTCAATTCCTTTCTCCCTTACTACCTTCCTGTGTGACCTTGTGCCAATCAGTGAAGGTATGTCTGTCTTCACAGCAGCTGGGAGCTATAATTCCCACCGCAGGTAGATGGACCGACATGAGCACCCTTACAAATAGCAGCGTGGCCCAGGTGGCCCAGGCTAGCCACCCACGTATGGAGCTGGAAGTGCTGAACGTGGGTGGCAAGCCCACGCTGCTGCAGCCAGGCTGTTGTTTTTAGGCACTAGGGGATTACACTTCCCAGCTGCTGTGCAGATGTTCCCTTAGTCTCTCTGTGCTGCAGTTCCCCATCTGTCAAAAACCGGGGCGAAGAGCACTTCCCTGCCTCACCAGGGTGCTGTGAGAATAACGACATGACGCTCAGATACGAGCGCTATGTAAGTACATGTGACAAAGCGTGGCGTCACCTAGAACCTACTGTCCCTGCCAAACCCCAAACCCCGTTCCCTAACATGGAGCTTTTATTGTACCTCCCCCACTCCCCGCTCCACCAGTTAACATCCAGGGCCCGATTGTCACTAACGAGAGGCCCATTTGCACAACCACCACTGCCTGCACACTTACAGCCCGTGCGTGAGTAAATCAGGCATGATGCCTGTGCTCTTGACTAGATAAGGGATGGCTAGCAAGGACTCTGGCCATCACTTTAGGAACACAAGGGCCTGAATGTGTGGGGAAGTTTTGCTTGAGTTGGCCCAGAAGGGAAAAATAACTCTTGACACCCATAGCGCAGAGTGACGTCCTTGGTTTCTGTAATGGCAAAGGGCAGAATTAAGGTCACTGATCTTCACTACCCCATAGCAGCAGATCCACTCCTCCCAATAGCACCGAGGGGGAAGGACCACGAGAGACAGAAATGAGAAAGGACCAGGGCCGATGCTACCATTAAGGCAAACTAGGCGGTTGCCTAGGGCGCCAAGATTTGGGGGCGCCAAAAAGCAGTGCCCCCAATTTTTTTTTACAGCGTTCCTGGGCTGGGCTGCCGGCGGCGCGCTGACACGTGCGGCTCAGACTCCCTCTCCCAGCGCAGCGGCCGCTCCACTTCTCCCGCCTCCCAGGCTTGCGGCGCCAATCAGCTGTTTGGCGCCGCAAGCCTGGGAGGGGAGAAGAATTAGAGCGGGGGCGACATGCTCGGGGAGGAGGTGGAGCAGAGGTGAGCTGGGGTGGGGAGCTGCTGCATGGCTCCCCCGGGGGAGGGAGCTGCCGCGGGGGGGGGGGGGGGGCGCAAGGTGGAAGTTTCGCTTAGGGCGCGAAACTTCCTTGCACCGGCCCTGGAAAGGACACATCCAGTGGTGAGCTGGAGCCGGTTCCCACCGGTTCGCAGGAACCAGTTGTTAAATTTAGAAGCCCTTTTAGAACCGGTTGTTCTGGGACAACCGGTTCTAAAAGGGCTTTTAAATTTAACAAAAGCTCGGGCAGCTGTTCACCCCGTCCCCGGCCCCAGCTCACTTCCCCCTCCTCCCCTGAATGCTCTGCCTCCCTTCCCCTCCCCCTTCCCTGCTTCCCGCGAATCAGATGTTCGCGGAAAGCCTGAAACAAGCAGCAGGCAGGTAAGCTGGGATGGGGGGGCACTCCAGGGAGGCGAGGCGAGGCGCGGCCCAGCCCAGCCCAGCTCCGGCCGAGCGGCTCCCTCCGGCCCGGCCCCCTGGCCCTGGCCTGGCCCCCGCCGAGCGCCCCAGCCCGGTCCCAGCCCTGGCCCGGCTCGGGCCCTGTGGCGCCGGTCCTGGTCAAGCGGCTCCGGCCCGGCCCGGGCCCCCCGGTCCCAGTCGACTGGCTCCGGCTGGCCCGGCTCAGGCCACGTGGCACCGGCACCGGTCCTGGCTGAGCGGCTCCGGCCCGGCCTGGCCCGGCCCGGGCCCTGCAGCGCCGGCCCCGGCCCCGGCCGAGTGGCTCCGGCACGGCACGGCTCAGGAAGTCAGGCATGCGGCAGCACCTCGGAGAGTCCTGCAGAACAGCAGGTAAGAGAAGGCACTGGCTTCCAGAGGTGGCTCTGAAGGTGAGCTGTCCAGCCGCAGGGCTGGTAGGTGCTGTAGTCTTTAGAACTCACGTACGGCCAACATCTATGAGAAAACCAGGGGATCTCCCCAATGTGGGGGATCCTCTTTTTGCTGCTGTGCTCCTCCCTGCCTAGCCCCCAGCACCAACCGCCAGCTTTCTTTGGCTCCCCGTGCACGGATAACCCTGGTCAGGGGGCAGGGGAGCGTATATAGCAGGTGGCAATGCTGCTCTGAGCAGCAGGAAGCTTCTGCAGGTTCTCTCGGCTGATGCTCTGCAGGATTGACTGGCAGCCTTCCATGCAGAGTGGCTATTCCCTGGCTCTGGTGGCCCCAGACCTGGAGCCCCACTCAGGCAGGGTCTGTCAGACAACGGTACTGGCACCTGTGCAATAGGGAAGGTGCCGCTTTCCCTCCTGTGTCACCCCTCTGTCCCATTCCAATGGAATTTCCTCAGCTTTGCTCCCCACAGTGCTGTACTGGGGGGCAGAATCTTTGTTCAACAGAGCAATCAGCCAGCATGCTCACTGGGCACAGCGCAGTGGAAATCCCTGGGGAACACAAGCTCAGCACAGACCAGGTCCTCGGCTGTGTTAGCAGAGGGGCAGCAGCCGTTACAAAGCACTTAGCCCCCATCCAGAATCCCGGGCAGTCCTGCTTGCTGTACCTCAGGCAAGAGATCACAGTCTCAGAGAGGCTGCAGCAGAGGGCATCAGAGACTCATCTATGCGAGGATACCAGGCTTCAGGAAAGTTATGGGGAAATATTAGAGCCATTTGGCTTCCTCTCCTTGGGAAAGAGGAGACTTGAAATGAGCAATAAGCACTGTTGTGGCAATAAATGGCTGGTTGTAAGGTTTACAGCTCTCTGTGTCTCCAGTGATTTCTTCCTCAAACTGCTACTCCCAAGGATGTAACAGGTACATTAGTCACACTGCCGAGGGGACATCACTGCAGCATGAGGGGCAGGCTGTGGCTTTCCCAGACCTATACAGAGGCAGTGAGATGGGGCTTCTCCTTCCATTTGGGGCTGAGCAATCTGCTTAATGGCATGGACTGGTTCCCCCGCTGCATCGGTCCCGCTTTGTGGGCAGGTGAACAGGAGAGAGGGATTGGCTCCAACTCCTCCTGGCCCCCCTGTAGCTTTATTCTTTAATGGTTAATAATTGTATTGGTTGCCAACAGATACTAATGTAATGAGCTGGAGGAACAGGGGTCTAGTCTAGTCTAGTTACTGCTGAGGAAAAGAAAAGGCTAAGCTAGTTCTATGGGCGACACCCCCTAACATCCTGCTGCCCAGAGCCCAGAGACTGCTCTGGTGGGGGTAGGGTGACCAGACAGCAAGTGTGAAAAATCGGGATGGGGTGGGGGGTAATAGGAGCCTATATAAGAAAAAGACCCAAAAATCGGGACATCTGGTCACCCTAGGTGGGGGCCTGTTGCAGAGTCATGGGAGCAGGGGAAGGCCTTCCAGCCCCCAGCCCAGCCCATCCAGCAGCACAAGGACCATCAGGACCTCAGGCAGTACTTTGCGCTAAGGAGAATAAACACAAGCTGCATGCAAAGCCCATCAAAGCAGAGAACACAAGCGAGTGCAGAGGCATGCAGGTTTGTGTCGAGTGGAGGTGACTCAGAGGTCTGGGGAGAAAGCAGGAGTGTGAGAGAAAGAGAAACTGAGCAACAGAGACACACTGGGCTTTCCTCACTCCTGAGATCTTCTCTGAGCCCATAAAAACAGCAAGGACTGTTCCTAAACGAAATGTGCCAGTACAAGTATACGCCTGAGCACTTGAAAGAGACACGCCAGCACGCTCGTGCTGAAGGAGTGGGTGGATAAGCTGGCGTCTGTGATTGGGCAGGTGGGGAAGGAGTATATCTTACTGGGTTACAGACCAGGCTCTGAGATTGGCTGGGCTGGGCTGGGCAATGTGACCCAGGTTCTGCTGGGAAGAAAAAAGAACCTGTGCAATCCAGTTCCATCGTCAGCACAAACCCAAAGCTCCCAGCAGCCAGGGCTCAAAGCGTGGCCAAAGCACTTGAGCTGCCTGCAGCTGGTCGTTTGATGGGGGAGCCTCCTGCCACTCGGAGTCTATTAAGGAGCACATCCATTTGACCTTCACTAGCTCCCAGCAGCTATAACCTTCCATCATCTCCCCTGCTGGATTTACATCCTCATCCTCTGGCAACACAGCTAGACAATCGCCCTTGCTGTGCCAAGGAGGGGGCTTCCCTTAGGAATGGCGATCAGCCCAGTCGCCAGCACTTGTGGGGCCTCTGGCGGGCAGTGCCAGGATTTTAACTCTAGCCCCTCAGGGCTCCATCCATCTGTCACAATACTCACAGTGGCAGGCAGGATCAGTGGCACTCCTGGCGGAGGGTTGTCGGCGGAGGCCTGGCTCGTGTTCAGTACCATGTACCCAAATCCAACCTTCCCGCTATTGCATAGCGTGATTTCAGCTTCAATGACTTGGTCAAATAGCTGAGGGGAAACGAGCAGAACAGGAGAGTCAATACCAAGGGTTCTTTTCAGATTCGCTTCCCACGTACTCATAACACGCAGATAAGGGGACATTCAAGGAAAGCAAGAGACAGGAAACAGTCTTCCAAATGTGTCGCTGTGGTCACGAGCTCAGCAGGAATCCAGCAGGACTGGATATTCTGTAAGAACATGCAGATTTACGAGAGAAAGGATTTAAATAGCAATCAGGAACCAAGGAGGAGTTTTGGAGGGGATGTAAATCCCCCTGGCTTCAGGGCGTAAATCAGCCTCTAATTGATGGGGGTATTTCCTGGGGGATGTTTGTCCCATAACTACCTGCTTCAGGGTCCTGCACCTTCTTCCGAGGCCTCTGAGCCAATGTCAGAGACAGGACACTGGCCTGGGCGGCCCTGGGTCTAATCCAGCCTGGCAACTCCTATCTGGTAAGCAGGAGAAGCTGTGAACGAGCACAGAGATACCTCGGAGATCCCCCTCAGCTCCGCAAAGCACGAACATCTCCTGTTCCTTGCTGCCATTTTCCAAATGTGCCTCTTCTGGGAAAGCTAAGATAGGTGAGATATCATCTGTTATTGGACCAACTGCTGTCGAAAGCTTGTCCCGTCCACCACCAGTGGTTAATCCAATAAAAGATTGATTCACCTACCTTTGTCTCTCTCATAACCTGAGACCAACACGGCTAGAACACTTCAAACAATTTATTTTGGAAGATAGTGCTGTATTTCGGACTCCCTGGGTCAAACCGATCCCGGGGGTAACTCCCCTGAGGTCAAAGGAGATAGATCGGGGCAGATTTGTCCCATTCCAGTGATAGCATAATCCAACGTATGTGATGTTAGTTGACATTATTATTTTAATAACGAATGAATGTATCATTCATCCTCAGGGAAAGCATCCAGAACACTGGATTCTGCCCAACACTGCTTGGATGAACCTGGAGGATGTATACAGGAAAATGCTCCAATGCCCAAGTATTTTTGGAACCTGCAGTGGTGGGAAAAGCAATACAATAGGCGCATTAACATCTAAAGAGATTCGATAATAATCTCTTTGGTCTTTTTTAGTTGGTTTAAGTGAAACAGTGGTTCTCTGAGTTTTGATTCTGATGTCTGAGTCTCACACCATTTGGTCTACAATTACTGGGTTCTAGTTAAATACACTATTAATGGTGAAAAGGCAACACAGAAAACTGAATGACTGGTTAAAGGAAAGGAGCTCAATTCATCTGTGGTGCTTTACTACATGGATGAAACTGCCCCACTGCCTTTAATTTGTTTTCAGGCATTTGCAGAAGTAGAGGCAAAGATCAAACCAAACGTCACTAATTACTAAGTGCTCTCCTACAGACTCTGAAGGCATGTCATGTGTCTCCCAACTCCCCCTCCTCTGTCTCTTTCTCTACATGGTCAAGGAGGCTGGTCTCTAAGTAACAGAAAACCTCAGATTTCCCATATCTCGCTGTCATTGGAGCGGCCATGTTTTCTAATGAACAGTTCCCTCCATGGGCAGGATGAATCTGAAAACTAACACAGATCCTTCAAAGGTTTATTTTTCCTTCATTAATGTGCAGGTTCATTAAAATCTCCTTACACCATAGTACATTCGTGCTGCTTCCTACTTTACCAGCAGAGGAATACCTTGCACAGGACTGATCATGGCATGAAACTGATTGACCTTTACCAGTGCGGCTGGAGTTAATCGATAGAATCATTTTTCCTACAAGCAACAGCAATCTTACTTCCACTGCTTCCCTTCTACTAAGCCCAAGAACAGTAGATACCAAAAAGACGCAGGGCTGAAGAGGTTATGCTGCCCACAAGAGAGAGATTGTTGGGATACAGGCAATACCGGATTTACAATGGCGCCAGTGGGGCCACTGCGCCGGGCCCATGCTCCAAAGGGGCCCCGGCCCAGCCTCTCTTCTCCCGGAAGCTTGGTGCTGCTGTGCCTGGGGCTCTGTCCTGATGTTGCAGGGCAGCCGGCAGCAAAGCTCCCCCTCCCCCAGCATGTTGTGTACTCGCCCCTCCTCCTCTCACTGGGTACGTCTTCACTACCCGCCGTATCGGCGGGTAGCAATCGATTTATCCGGGATCGATAGATTGCGTCTCGTTAAGACGCGATATATCGATCCCTGAACGCGCTCACTGTCGACTCCGGAACTCCACCAGAGCGAGCGGCGGTAGCGCAGTCGACGGGGGAGCC